GAGGGGTGCTATTGGTGGAAGTGATCCAGAGGTCAAGGAACCGAGATCTGTGGAGATGCATGAACGCATATGCCAGTCCACAGGGCACGTGATGATGATGGGGCATAGAAATATGTTTCTTCCAGTCCACGTTGTCCATACACATCCATCATCATCTTCCTTTTACATGCTGGCTTTATAATTTCCCCACAGAGTTAAAGTTAATGTTAAAGTCTGGAAGACTGACTTCACTGCACCAGGTTTTATCCTATATGCCTCAGTCTCTCTACGCAGAGCGGTTAGCCACCTTCTAAGAGTGTTGCATGAAGCACAAACTCCATAAGTCTGGCGACGATCCACAGAGATCTCCGTAAATAAATTTGCACTCGTGAACCGTATGATGTAGCCTTTAAATCAATCCATGATGTTCAGAGTACATAGCAAATGACTGAACTTTGCCATGCAACCCCCCCCCCCCCCCCCCCCCCCCCCCCCCCCCTAGCCTTTCCAGCATGCCACTTAGAATTTTTTTCCAGTGTGGTACTTCATCGCGTAACAAGGACAAGGAGCTGTCTCATTAAATGGTCGAAATTTCTGAATTATTGTGATTTCAGTTTTAACACATGCCAGTGACAGTTGGAGAACCAGTAAAGATATGGAATGAAAGTTAATGCATATGAAAACAAATGCCTAATGAAACTTATGAACAATAAATGAGATGAATTCCATAAAGGCAAAGAAATAAAAGAAATGACTTGACAACTGCTGGTATTAACAGTTTTAATGCAAAAAAGATAGCAATACATTTGGCACATCCTGAACAGAAGTGAACAGAGAATCATGAAACAGACACTTAAATGGGAAACAAATGAACTGAAGAAATAAGGATGTCCAAAAGAAACCCTAGGACAATTGTTTGTGCTTTATTAATATCCTAACCAAAACAGGGGAAATCCACAGGTCACAGGACAGTCTAAGATTTTAGGGGGTGGTAGACATGCTGCATGCAGTCGTGGGACCTAGGCTACACTCTCTCATAGTTCATAGGTGGGTTAGGGTTAGGGCCAGTTCTAGATGTTTTGGAGTTTTTAAAAGCACCAGAAAGAAGGGAAACTCAGTCTTACCATCCTCTAAAATGTTGGACTGTCCTGTGACTTCATCTGGGGTAGGATATTAATAAAGAATCCACTTGTTTATGAGAGAGGGCAAAGGTGCTGGACTGAATTCCATCCATGATATTGTAAGAACTGCACAGGACAGAATGAATGGAATCGAAGAATAAACTGTGAGCCCATGTGATGTATAACAGCACAACACAATGATGATAAACTCCTGGACCATCTGACTTTGATTTCTTTCAGCTGTTCAGTAATTTCCAAAAAAAAAAAGAAAAAAAAAAAAGAAATTGTCAGGGGTGTTCCGAGATAAACAAGTCCCGGTAACTAAGATCAGTACATCCTCACAGACATTTATTGAATAGTTAGTGTTCTCAAGGAGGCAGAATGAGTGGATGATTCGGGAGGAGACAGTGACAGGACTACAAGAACTTCATGTCCAGAGATGTTGTCAGACATGAACATTATATAGGTCGCCAAAGAAAAATTGTAAATCAACACAGACCTGGTGTTATCGGTTGCCAAACTAAAATAAGGATGATAATGAAGATGGGATGCAAACGCTTATGGATTTGTCCCATGTGCGATGAGGATGACTGGAGAACTAATTAGCTATTTAATTCACGGAAGCTTGAGTAACTCTTGAAGAAGAAAAGATTTTTTTACAGTCTATGACTCTCACATACTTTTAAAAACTTTTTTGAAAACTATTTTTTATGCATGTTTTCTACCAAAATACTGCTTCTCATGTTCCACTTTTTTCTCCAAGTAAGCACACTGTTATTTGAGAATTTCAGTATCTACTTGGTGTTTTGTCATGTACAGACAGTATATTAGGTTAAAACCTTAAAAAGCAAAATCAGGCTGCTCCATATCTATATATATATATATATGCACCCCAAGATGTCCGATAGGTTGGCTGAAATGCATAAATATCACAGCTATGTTCTAAAAAGGTATAACACATTTACACAACTTAGGCTAAGCATGAAGAAGAAGATGGAGATATACATGAACTTACATCTTTTTCATCGTAAATACCAACTTCAGTACCAAATTCTTTTATAACTTTCCAAGGCAATACACTGGTACTGTTTCTTGCTCTGTGTGGAAAATGAACAATTCCATATGCAGTGTTCTCAATTGCAATGTAAAAGCGAATGTTAATATAATTATGAAATAATATGGATTTTTCCAAAACTAGGTCACAGTGCTAGACCTAGACACATTGTACAATAAAGGGGTAAAAAAAAAAGAAACATGTAACAACAGAGGAAAATGTATTTGAAGGATCCTGAATGTAAGATTTAAAAAAAAATGAATACTATTGTTTGTTTCTGACAAAAGAAAAAAAATCAGGCAATAAAGTGTCTTGATGGTACTAATACTATGACCAGGTAGAGCAAGACACAGAACAGTACGACTAAGATCTCTGGAAAAGAGGCAACAGATAACTATTATAAATGATGGATAAATGGCATACTCAAGTCTATAAGCAACAAACAGTAAGTAAGAGGCAAATATGAGAACTATTCCTAGAATACCCTTTATGGTTTTTATACTGAAAGACCAAAAAGGAAAAGAAAAAGAAGCAGAAGAAGAATAGAAAGAAGAAACAAAAGAGGTGAGGAAGAGGAAAAGAGGAAGAAGAAGAGGATTGTTCTGGTGGAGAAAATAGAATAAATTAGAGATACATTCTTTCTTGTACTTAACTACAATGCTAGCTGAGCACATATACTCACTATTTATTATGTTAACAGTGAATCAATGAAGAAGAAACTACCCTGTGATACCCTGTCCAGTGCAACTGTTTCCTGCATGTGCTTTCCATCGCAAAATTCTAAATAATCACAGTCTGTGTTGAGTTTGTGCTGCGCTGTTCAAAGTATATATTTTTATCAAGTGACGAACGGAAGATGCTCATGACTGTTTATGAATCTTTTATATATTCTGCACTGTACAATAATTAATCAATAATTCGTTGTTCATTGTTCATTTAAAGATCATCTTCACTGCACATCGGACATTAGCATAAGTGCCCCGATCTCCTCCTGAGTATGTTTCTAAGTCACTTATGGGAGTGCCCCGAGTGCTGTGATGTTGATTCTTCATTCAACATTCTAAGTGTTTTTAGGCTAACAACTCCCATTCTGTTCTGGTTGATGTAAAGACGGTCGCTCCTAAATTAATACATTGTGCTTAAATAGTTGCAGTTTTAGTGCTGACACTCTGCTTATTATAAATAAGAACTGACAGTCAGTTGTCATATAATGTAAGGGGGGGGGGGCACTTAACTTGCTATGCCATTAAGGGGTGGGGGTCTCATCCTTGCACTTCTACTGTGTGCTGAAAAGTCAATGGGGAAAGCCCACTTGGTGGAGTTAATTACAGTAATAAATATAATATAATAAAGCATAGAAAGGCCCACACCACAAACTCCTGCCTTAAGTTTGGTTCATGAAAAATTGTTTCTAAGCTTACACATGTGAACTGATCATGCTTCGCCACTGATGGTTATAGTGGTCAGTTTGCTGGTAATAACACAAATAAAATTTGCAAACTGTATTTTAACATCCTCCCTTATTCATAACTTTCATGGGTTGCAGTGGTTAGGATGACATAAAGTTGCTTTGTCCGATTTATGTTAACTAAGTGTCATGGCTTCCCAAACCTCAAACACACAGAAACGATAATACAACGATATTGTTTACTACTTACGTGAGAATCTTTTTCTCCATATTGAGCCACACTTTGGGAACTTTTTCTCCCATATTTTTTAACTCTACAGTCACTTGCAAAAGTTCTTTCTCTAGCTCGGCAATTCCCTAAATTGTAAAATAGTTAAATAGTCATATTTTTACTTGAATAAACTGTCAAAATGGCTGTAAAAAATTATAAATTCTAATAATAGATGTAAATAAAAAAAAAAAAAATTAAAAGTAATCTTTATAATTAAGTTTATTTGGTTGAAGAATAATGGTGGTATAGTAATTTCAGTATATCACTCCACTGTTCGCTGTTCCAAACTATTTATCTTCACGGTAACACATTGCTGTAAGAAATACTAACTAAACATAATATATTTTAAAGCAGTGAACATTTACAATGTCCACTATTTCTATTGAACTTGGTATATAAAATATTATCTACTAATTAAACATTAAAATGGTGTTAACATAATCTGATTATGTCCCTTCTATTTCCCCTATTTCAAATTTGTTTCTTTTGTTAACAGTGATAAAAAAAAAAGTTTAAAAAAAAAACAATACTAACTAAACACAGTATATTATAAAGCAGTATAAACTTTATAATATCTATCTATTGCCCTTTAACTTGGCACATAAATCATTATATACTACCTAAACATTAATGATATAAAAATGTAAATTTTGAGTTTGCTAACTAATGGATTTGATAAATAATTATTGTCACAGAATAAAGATTAGTTTTAAATTTAAATGTTTAACTTCACTGCATCTGGTTTTTATGCCATATAGCTCAGTCTGCCTCCACAAACTGGCAAGCCACCTGCTGAGATCACAGTAGAAAGTATAAGACACCATAGATTAAGCAATGATCTCATGGGAAATAAATACAAATTGCACTTGTCAATGGCATAATGAAGTCTGTGAAATAAACCTAGAGGTGAATAGATTAACCCTTAGTCATAGAGCAACACCAGCATAAACAGACAATAATTAATTACTGAAAAATACTGAAATACTGAGATAATGCTAAAGTACCTCAATACTGAATTCTATGTCAGTTTAGGCACATTGACCTTCTCTCATAAACAGGTCACTACAGACAATTTTGAAAAGTAATATTTCTGGGGAACTGGAAACAACCGGAAGTGTCAGTTTTGTGGTTTCTCTGGGTGAAGGGGCCACAATTTCCATGACCAAATTACATAAGGTAGGTGGTAAAAAGATTTGCTCAACATTTGTAACATTTGTTTATTGTGGCTCTTATCAATCAAGCTTGTCTGCAGTCACCCCAATATTTTCACCAATCAAGCAGTGTATGGACCTACTGCCATTAAGTTATAGATGCAGGTATTCATCAACTATTGCTGTTTTTTTTTTTAAATATATATACATAGTGCTCTTTTTAAATCTTCTTTTTCTTCTTCTTCACGTTAACTAGCTAAACTCTGGCATAAATGTATGTTTGTTTGTCCACCTCTGGAGAATCCTTACGTCCTTTGTAGGACGAAATTTTTTGTTCTTTGAAGCCCCACCCTGGCTTTTGCCAGGGGCCGCAATATAGGCTGGCCATAAATATGGCCAATTGTCTGAACGCGGTTTCTGGGACATCTCCACGGTGATCCTCACCCCCATGGTGTCACTTTGTGTCATTGGGTGTTTATCGCTTGTGTGAAGTCCTGGTGGGGTAGAAAGTCAGTCAGTCAGTCAGTCCACCTCCGGACTTTAGTCTTGTTCCAGAATATGAGTATTGTGTGCACACACATTTTACAGATCTGACTTATTTGTATGCAGACTTTTGGTTCCTTGCTTCTCAGGCAGATGCAGTCTGATTTGGAAAGAACCTCCTAGTTAGTCAACTCTTACGACATGCTTGTTGGGGAGGCAGTGGGTCTATTCTTATTTTTCCAACAAAGGGGCCCTGAACCCACATGAGGACTTTTTAATCTGAGCTTGATGGAGGTAACAGTTTCTTGACTTCTGCAAGAACTGGATTTGACTGACTTTCTACCCCACTAGGACATCACACAAGCGATAAACACCCGATGACACAAAGTGCCACCATGTGGATGAGGATCGCTGTGGAGAGGTCCCAGAAACCGCGTTCAGACATTTGGCCATATGTATGGCCTGCCTATATTGCGGCCCCTGGCAGACGCCATAGTGGGGCTTCAAATGACAAAAAATTTCGTCCTGAAAAGAACGAAATTGAGAATACTTGAACTGGATTTGTAGAATATGTGCAAACCAGACACTCCATAATAAACTGTGACTGGTGTCTCTTCAGGTGCATGTCTTGAAATCATCACCCTGTTCTCTGCTTCAGTGAAATGATTTCCTAAATGATTACTGTCTCAAGATGTTCACCTCTTTAAACATGCCAAAAATAAATAACTTAACTATCTTTTTTTTAAAAAATCCTAATAAAGAATCTACCTCATTATTTAATTCTTGTTGAACTGATCAATTATTCCCCTTTTTGTTCAATCAATGTTTTTAGATGTTTGTGTGTGTGTGTGTGTGCGTAACACTCAAAAGTGTATATTTGCAAAATGACAGAGATGTCAACAATATAAAAAAAATTCTTTAGATATCAAGAAATTAAACCCAAAATTTAGCAAAGTGGGTACTGACTGTTCCTTCAACTGAGCTGACAAAGTGAAATCCAGCAATCTGTGGGTACCGCTCTTTTAAGTCAGACATGGGAATGTCCGCTTTAGGAACCTGTAAACAAGAGAACATCATAACTGAGAAATATGATACAACTTTTTAGGTGTCATCATGCATGGGTGTCGAAGCAAGAATCCAACAAGCCAACAATGTCGCATACCAGCTTGCCCTAATTTTAAAACACCCTGCTGTCCCAGATGAGATAAAAAGACAAATTATAAATACAATCTTTATACCGACATCAGGTTATCAATGTCAGACTTAGACATTAACAAAAGAACACGAGAGAAGACTAACCACCTGTGAAAGGAGATGTTTGAGAATGGCTGCGAATAAAACCAGAAGAGATAGAGTGAGAAACGATGTGATTACAAGAACTATTGGAACCATACCCATCGTTAAATTTATTGAGAAGCAAAGAATGAAATGGTTTGGTCACCTAATGAGAATGGAAAGAACGATGCCAGCATCAAGAGCATACAACATGAAAATCAAAACACCAAGAGGCAGGGGAAGACCAAGAAGAAGATGGATTGAAGGAGTCACGGACAACTTGAGACTTCATAACATCACGGCATATGAAGCGACTGAGCGCGCCCTGGCTCGGTTGCCGATCATCTGATAGACTGCGACGCCTAGCGGCACAAGCAGATTTTGACAAAAGAAGAAGAAGAAGATGCATGGGTGACCAGCTAACATGATGACTTGAAGGTCAGATGAAGAGCACAACTTTCTGATATTTTAAAATGACCAATTCAAAAAGCGAAGAGTAGCTGGCTAACAGTTAATCAATCAATCAATCATTTAACTGTGACCACTTTCAGCTAAGGGAAAACATTGCCGCTCTCTGCCATGTCTGCTATTTTCGAGGTGACATTTTTTTGTCTTCACCTTATCTAGTTTTGAATTGCGCTGACAGGATTCTGTCGCTCAGTGTTTGTTGTGGTTTCTTGTCATTTGGCTGTTTTCGTATCTGGCTGGTCTTGCGCTGCGCTCCAGATTGTTGGGTTGGCTGCTCTGCTGTCAAGGCAGTTTCAGGTGGATTTTATTGGACAGTTAAGAATGCTGGACTATCATATAGGAGACTCAGGCTTGAATCTTTGGTTAGGTTATGGGATTTTTATATCGAGGGGAAAAAATAAAATCGTAATTTGCACAGTCCATGGTGACTGCACAAACCATGCAGCCCAAATCCTCAGGCTCAAACCCCCCCCCCCCCTTTCCCCTGGCCTATACCATGAAAGTGAAAAATGCAAGCTATAATGAAAGTTGTTTTACGTTATTCAGAAAGATATATGCAAATGTTTCGAGGCAGAGAGAAAAGATTCTTGACAGTCTTGTTGCATGGCATGGAGGTGTGTCAGCACAAGAACTGATACATGCTGCAGGAGATCGCAGACTGTGGAGAGGCATGATCGCCCAAACCAGTCGGAAAGGCACCTGATGATGATATGCAAATCTACCTTTGAAATCTTTTCCTGGTGTAGGTTTTAGGGGGTCCAGTTTGGCAGGGACAAACGAACAGACCCACTGCTTCTTAACAAATATGTCATAAAAGTTGACTAATTAGAAGCGTTTCCTTTTCTAGCCACAGTGCATCTGCCTGAGAGACGAGGAACCAACAGTCTGCACACAAATAAGCTAGACCTATAAAATGAAGGAACAAGACCAAAGTCCATAAGTGGACAAACAAAGACAGCTTGACACCAGTGTTTACAGCTTGTGAATGTTAAGAAGATGATTTTCAATTTAGTTAGGTGCCATCTCCACAGTAAAGGTTGGCTGCAATGGATCTTCTTTCTTCTTCTTCTTCTTGTTCACCGGCTGTGAATTCCGGCGGTAAGTCGCAGTTGTTCGTCCAAAATGGACTTTTGGCTTTTACCTTGACCTGAGTTTTGGGTGTACATCCGTTTTACTGGCTTATTTGTTTGCAGTACTCGTTCCCTGCCTCTCCGGCAGATGTACTCCGACTTCGGAGGAAGACTTCAAGCCTATTTCTAGGTTGACTGTGGCCATTGTTTTGTGTGGGTCGAGATGTTGCCTCATTTGTGTGGTGTCCTCTTTGACTTTTAACAGGTGTGGCCCCCGGCATGTCGTCCTTAAGGCAGCTCTATGTAGAGTTTTCAGCCCTCAAGGGAAGTCAGGGGCAGATCATAGGCATTCCCCGCCATCCAAGGAGGCTTCCATAAATGCAGAGCCGACACATGATGCTCTGGTTCTGGCCTCACCCATGGAATCGTCACGTCCTGCCCATGACTGCTTAACCTCACAACCGTGTATTGAGCTTCCCGCGCTACAAGGCTGCGCTCTCCGGAGATCAGCGGGGAGCAGCCCGCAGGTCTAGGATGTTTGTGGCCACACAAATAGGTACATTCTTTTTCATCTTACGTTAGACACCTTTAACGTTTTTTCAGCTGTGCCCTTAGCACGACAAAATTGGGAAGCAAAATGCGTCAGGCGTGGCTTCACCTGTTTGGTCCCAACACTCGGGCGAGTTGGACAAGTGGATACGGACATTCGGACGTTTCCCTAATCGGTACGAATTATGATCGTCGGACTCTGAGCTTGCATGTGTGCCGTGGGGTATAACTTTGTCTGACATTATTTCCAAACCAGCATATGAAAAGTTGCTGCCGTGGTGTACCTCAGCGCGGTGACGACGACACTGAGGATTGACAGAGGATGTACGTAGGTAGGATCTTGCTGCGAGAAGTTGCCCACAAGAGATGTTACTCGTCTTGGCTGCGGGTAAATCTCTCGGTCAGGGTTGAGTCTCAGCAGCACAGTTTTAAATTCCCTCCCGAATTTTAACCGAGAGTTGTCATTTACAATGGATCTAAAACATGCTCTGTCTCTTGTCATGATTTTACACTGCTATTTATTCATCTCTTGATATCATCCTCCAACCTATATCACTGTCTTCCTCTTGTTCTCTTGCCCTCAATTTTCCTCACCAGTATGGTTTTTAAAAGAAGATGAGATCTTTTAAGAAAATCACAATTTTGTTCAAAGTATGTGTAAACTGATTATTACTAAGTTTTCATTTGATGAATTGTTGTAAGTCACTTTAGATTTATATTCTACTTGGTAGCGTGTCAATGTTTTAATTGGTATTCCCAAAGTGGCTTACTGCAAATAATAATATATGATTATTTTCTGATGTATGAAACTTTAGAAGTACCATTAAAAACATAAACATCAAAACAAAATAAATTCACATCATCTTCACAAACATGTGCTTATCTAAAAAATACATGCAAAGTGAAATGTGATCTACATGATCACAAGTGATATGAGTAATGAATAATTTGTTTCAGGATGTGAGGTGCAGTGGATATATTATGCTAGCCAAATATTGTAAATAGTTCAATTAACAGTTCAATCAGCACAAAATGGAAGATTTCATTAATAGCATGCGATTTATTTTTTGTCACAGAATACTTCTTGTTATACATTTTAGACTGGATCAAAGTAAGTTTGCCCACTTAGAGAGAATGCCTTACCATACAATGCATATGCTAAGAAATGAGAAAGACATAAAGCACAAGGCAGACCAAGAACAAGATGAAGAGATAACATCAAAGAAACTTTACATTACAAGATGTGTCTATGGTTGAGGCAACCAGAAGAGAAAGAAGCAGAACCTTATATCTTCCTTGATACCCACAGTAATAAAAGAGAAAGTGAAAAAGAAGAGAAAAGAAAAGGCAGAAGACCTAGCAGCCAGGTGACTTTAAAAAAAACCACACCAAAAAAAAACAAAAAAACTCTGCCTTAGTGAGGAACTGAATACATAACGGCTGGGCCAGCAGGCAAGTATGCTAGCCATTGCCCTTCTGCAGCGCCATCTATACATTTCATTTGATTTTAACTGGCACAGGAAGGAGAAAGTATGGGTTCACTGACTGCAGTGGTAGGTAAGTAGGTAGTTGTACTCCACCAGGACATCACACAAGCGATAAAAACCTGGTGACACAAAGTGTCACTATGTGGATGAAGATCACCCGTGGAGAGGTCCCAGAGTCCCTTTCAGCCATTAGGTCATATCTAGGGCTAGGCTATATCTATGCCCTGGCTATATTCAGAGCACCCGGCAAAAGCCAGGGTGGGGCTTCAAATAACAAGAAAACTGTATCCCACTAGGGGACTACTTAATGGCAACAACTGTAGTGAGGCTGAAACCTCTACTAAGACTAAGACTAAGCTCAATAAAGCTGTTTTGTTAAAATTGTAATGTTAGCAAAAGTAGAAGTAATTTATACAATATCTGGTTAAACCAATCTGGGTTGTATGGGGATGTACAGAGTTTTTATCTATGTCGGTATTTGATACTTATTCTTATTAATTACTTTGGTCATTTAGTCTTGTGCATATTATGCACAAATTGTAACAGGTTGTTGGAGTATAGATTGTTAAGTTTATTATATTTTAAGTGTACTTTTAAATTACTGTAATAATAATAATATTGTGTAATCTATCTTCAGGAATATTTTCACTGATCTTGGATACCATTATTTTTCTAATTTTACCTGACATGTACAATGGAAGGTTTTACTGAAAGAAATTATATATCATGTTTGAGGACATATTCTGTAAAAATAATATGCAGACTTGATACTTGTAAAACTCAACAATAAATAAATAAATGTCAACAGTTTTTAAAAATTTCAAATAGTAAATCTTAAGATAGATTGTTGCAGACACCTATATCTAAAGATCAATAAATACACAATAAATCTCCTCCGTGTTTTGTGTGTGTAGCTTATGCGAAGTTCCCAAGTGTTGTGATGTTGATTCTTAATTCAATATTGAACAGGCATTAAACAAATTTTTTGTGTGTGTAGATCATAATATCAAATTTACTGTACATATTAAAAAATGCAGTTTTACATGTATAAAGCTTCAGTTGTAATGCTAGTTATCTCATGCAAAAGTCATAAATACCACAATAATGAATCCCATTTCACTGCCATCAAACCAATTTGGCATGTTATTGAGTCTCTAAAAAAAACACTGCATCATCCAAAAAAGAAAAAAAAATGGTTAGTTTTGGAAGAGAAAAAGTTATCAATGAAAGAACTAATTGCAAAATAATATAAAGACAATGTGTGCACACAGAAGCATAATATATTATATAAGAAATAATGTGATCTGCTAGTAAATCTAAGCAAGAATAATTCAAGACATTACCCCATACCTGATCACAGTGAGTGCCAACTATCAAAATGGGTGTCTTTGGTGCATGACTTGCTATGGAGCTTAGCCAGAATTCCAAACCAGCATGCTCAAAGCCCTGACGTGTTGACCACAGCAGGAGGTAGACTGCTCTCTTTGACAGGAAAAACTGGTTCAGAGGTAAATTAAAGTGGTCAATCAACTGAGAACAACAGTTGAGAGTAGTAAAAGAAAAACAATTAATATTAGAACAAAATAATTTGGAAAAAGTTCCAAGCAGTGGTTACTTTAACTTCTTCTATCCCAAAAAGCCTTTACTATCAGGCTTGTGTTCTCAGCACTCTGCTTTATGGCAGTAAAACTTGGTCAACCTATTTGCACCAGGAGAGATGGATAAATAGCTTTCACATGCAATGCCTAAGAAGAATACTTGGCATTACGTGGCATTACAAAATCACAAACACTGAGGTACTGGAAAGAGCAGGTACTACAACAGTCTTTTCCATGCTCAGTCTACGAAGGCTCAGGTGGAAGGGTCACACCTGGAAAATGGAGGATGGGAGAGTCCCTAAGGACATCCTTTATGGTGAATTAAAGACAGGTAGAAGATGTTGAGGCCGACTTCTACTACGGTATAAAGATGTGTGCAAGCAGGACATGAATAATACAGGTATTGAGGTGGACTCATGAGAACAAAATGCCATGGACCGTGTTGTGTGGAAAGGGCATATCAGGAATGGAATGAGAGTGAAGGAAGAAAAGATTGCAGAAAGGATGAGAGCTGAGCATCTGAATAGAAGCGGACTAAACACAAATGTTGACAACAATGGTCCTGAAATCCCATGCTATCGCCATCGCCATGGGCTGTTAGTCCCATGCCTCCTCATAACGCAATATAACACCATCTTCTGGAAAGACGGAAAGGTGCCAATCAATCCCAAGAAGCCAAACTTGAAACTGTACTTTATGAACTTAGGTCTGAGGTAGTTCAACAGAGACACTATGCGATGGATGTAGTTAAACTTTTAAGATCAAAAGGGTTAATAATAATAGTAGTCTGTGATAGGGAGCTCTTTTGGCAAAGTAGTCAAGCCATTTGCCTCATGCTCTGAAAATCATAGTTTCATTTCATGGCTGCACCATTTAGTTCACAGGAGCACAGTGAAGTACATACTAGAGACAAAACTGCAGATAAAGATAATATATTTTGGATGAATGAAAGAAGAAGAAGAAGTTCACAAAAGGAAGTTTTACAGAGATCCCTGAGATCACTGCTTGAGCTATAGAGTTCATGCTTTTTGTGATGGTCTGGCAAGCTGCTGGACATTCTGCATAGAGAGTCTGAGCCATATTGGATAAATCCCATGGCAAAGAAGTTGATCCTCTTGACATTAGCTTAATTTTTTTTAATTTTTAATGTGATAGAAGACAGCAAAAATATTGTATTATCTTTGGAATGATTTGAAAAAACTATGGTGAATTGTTTGGTACCAAAAAAAAGTGAAAATAAAAACAAACAATAAGAGTAGAAATCATCATTTAATGGGCGTTAGTTTTGTCACTTTAACAATACTGTTATGCAATAGCAGGTTATTCAAAATATTCATTTCAAGTCTGTGACACGACTATGTACTTAATGTACTTAAAATATGATTTCTCCTAACAAACCACATTCCCATAGTGGGTTTCTGACCACACGTGAATGCAGTTTTCGCTGCTAGTGTCATACATGGACCCTTATTACAGCTAATGAGCAGAAAAGCATAATAAAAGAGATGGGAAATCTCAGAATAGCTGCCAGAGTAAAAAGAAGATTAAGTTAAAAATGAAGAAATTAGCAGACTAGGACTAAAACCAGTCAAGCAATTAATTAAAGTAAAACAAATGAGATGGTTGGCCATTTGACGTAAATGTCCAGATACCAACTGACACAGAGGCACACACTGAGGAAAAGACTTTAATAAGGATACACTTATACAAAAGATTAGAGCTGGTTTGAGTTGAGTTAAGAATTGACATCACATCACTCGGGGCATTCCCATGAGTGCTTCATCCTCATCTTCAGCAGCCAGCACAGAGCTCCAATACTGATGGTACTGGTCACAATCTGGTTACATGTCCGTCTTGTCTTTCCTCTGAGTGTAGTGAGCCGGCCAGACCCTCTGGTTACACCCAGGTGCCTCATTCTTTCCAGGCCATAATAATCTTGTTTCTCTACTGATTCCTTTGCTTGTTCCCAGGGCCTTGACCACATCTGCCTTGTCATGTCATGTATCAATTCACCACCCAGTGGTGCAGATCCAGCTAATCTGTCTGCCTGTTCATTACCCACAATGCCGGTATGGCCTGGAACAATCAAATAAGAAAAAGCACATAGAAGATCTACACATCCCAAAACAGTCTGAACATGTCACTGGAAAAGAAGAAATAAAGAGGCAGACGTAAGACAGCTAGCTCTGCCTGTCTGGGTGAGTTTTTTGTTGTTGCTTCGCTCAAGCATAGATGTGTCATCTGTTTCTGGTTTTATATTTCCCATGTCTGCTTTCCTTATATTGAATTTAACTATATTTTTCTGTGATGTCTGTTCCCTGCTACAAGATTTGTTCACAGACTGACTGTCATCATCATCACTGTCCTATTGTGCTATTATATGAAACATGGGGGAATCACAATCTATTCCTCCATTTCATTCTATCCTGTGCAAACATTTCTTTATCACAGATGGAATCAGCTCAGCACCTTTGGCCTCTCTGATCAACATTCGTTTTCTAGTTTCTTGTGGGTGTCCTGCCTCCTCAATCCCTTTTTTTTTTTTTAAATTGTAGTGCCTGTTTGGTGATTCTTTGCTTGTTTTTGATTAAAATGGGGACTGAGCATTTATGGGAGTGTCCTGAGTGCTGTGATGTTGACTCTTAATTCAACATTCAACACTGCTTGTTTCTTCTCAGAATATGTCCAGTGCAGTTCCATCTTCTTATAACTTTTAATACTAGTGGCTATCCAGACATTCCTCTTATTTCTTCATTCTTCTTGACTGCAGACAACCTTAATTGTTGAAAACAGCATGTGACTAAATTATTTAGAGATTTACTTTTCACATTAATACTTTTTTTACTTAGAGATTGCTTTTCACATTAATACTTTTTTTTACTTAGAGATTTGCTTTTCACATCAATACAGACCTGGTGTGTGTTGTAATATAAAGTTTGGCCAGCGAAGTCCCAAGTGTTGTATGTGACCTCTAAATTGTCACTAGTTCGCACTGTCCATGGGAGAATGTCTATTCCATTGGTTATATCTTCCCCTTTTGTTCCAGCAGTCTTCTTATTGGAGCTCATCAGAGCACGAAGTAAACTTAAAGATGATGAATAGAATGCAATTTAATACCCTTATATTTTCAAGACACAGCAAAAAATGGAATCCTGTATTAAAATTTTTAACAAAAATAAAACTGATAACATGTTGAAATAATACATTCTAAACTGTATAAGGATTATCAAGAGTGAATTACCTAAAATCCACATTGTCATCACTGTTAATGATTGTTGCAAATTCTTCCCTTTGTAAATAACTCTCAATCACTTTGTTCTTTAAGTTGTTTACAAACAATGCTCTTCCACTACAGTCTACCATTTTGCCAAGTGATTTTCAAATATGTTAAATACACGGGGCTTAGCAAATCCTTAACCCGTTAAAAAAAAAGGTAAAACACCCCTTTCAAGCCATTGCTACATGGTGTAGTAGTGTTAAATATAGGATTAATGTAAGGAGTTTGACTGGTTAGTAGAACTGGGGAAGTCCCTAGGTTGGAAGACATGAAGTCGACGTGAGAGAGGGAAAACACAAGATTGTGTGAGTTGACTTGGGAATATGAGATAACTGGGGAAATAGCTGAATAGCGAGTCATTCTGTGACAATCTTTTCTCCTTGGAAATGCCAGCGTGGTGGGGAATTAACAGGCAGACAGAATGGCTGGATCTGCACCACTGGGTGGTAAAGTGATACATTGTGACAACATGCCTAATAACTTCTGAATGTGTTCCCCCCCCCTCCCCCCCACCTAATCTTTTTCTACATATTTTAAATAATACAGGAAAATATGTTTCTGGATATATCTTAAATTTAGGTCAACCCAGAACAAAGCCATTTAATTTCCCTTTTGTACTGGTGAAGTCAAACATCAGTACCTTTCAGAGTGTTTTGGGGTGTTAGATAATTCAAATAATACTGACTCAGTGGCACCAGTGAAGTGGAAAGCTCTGACATAGTGGCTGGAGGTTTTGCTTGTAGAACTGAGGTGTCAAATAATTATCTCCTAGACAGACCTTTAGGAGCAGATAACTCAGGTTAATTGTGATTATCTCCCCCTGAGATTACCCCACTTGAGTGCAGGCCAGGGCTAGGGTTGACACCTTTCAGTAAGAGGTGTTAGATAAACTTGGACAGAGCATTGGCAGGATGAAAACTGAAACAAATGTGTAAATCCGTTTATAGTCATTGGCCAGCTTGATGGATAATGAGAATATAACTCTGGGAATGCAAACAAGTGTTGTGCAGTCCTGACTGACAGTGAATAGACTTATCCACAGGGAGGATCTTTGACACCCCTTGAAGCAATTATTTCAACGGCAGTATCTAGAGTCAATCGTTCAGAAATCAATGGCAAACTAGTGAATGTAAAATCTGTCTATAAAAACCACAACAGCCAGAGAATGCTGAAGTTGGCTCTGCAATTTCCTGCAAAAAAATTTACAACTGACTATTGTGGAAGACTTTTCCTAAAGCATTTGTGTCTTGTTAGTCACACTCACCATTACGATCTTCTAGTGACTGATACGCTCTTTTTTAGCACCCTCACAACTTTTTTCGTATTCTAAGGTTGCAATATGATCACACAATATAGCACTCGGCCTGAGAGAACCAAGGCACCTGGGCCCACTGACTCTAACGTCTGGTTTCCAGAGCCTAGGTCTTCCTGGACCCCTAGCTCTGGGGCATCTAGAGCTTTTTATCTATACATTGAGAAAACTCTTTTTTCTTAGATTAACAAATTGAAATTCAAACCTCTCAGGCACTCCAACCTCTTCCCTCAAGAACTTCAGGGACTCGTTGTGATAAAATGTTGTGATGGTATTGTAATTAAACCTGCTGATAAGGAAGGGGCAGTAGAAATCTGTAGAAAAGATTTATATGTGCAAGCAAGGAGGTGACAGGTAACACAGTGACACATCTTTCTATGAACCCCAGACACAGGATGGTATGGTAAAAAAAAAATTGTAAAAAGTACCATCACAACCTTCATCCAGGAAGATCATCTGCTTGCCTGGGCCAGCTCTCTATTTGTCTAGGACAGTTTACTAGAAAAGCCCGGCCTCTATATGCTTCCCAAAATACATAGACCTGGCAATCCAGGCAGACCGATCATGTCCGCCTGCACTTGTCCCACAGAACTCATATCCAAGTTCTTCGACCGTATTTTGCAGCCCCTGGTCGTTGGTCTCCCGTTTTTCATCAAAGATACTAACCATGCTATCTCTGTCTTTCAACCGATCTGGTTCACCTCTTCTTCCAGGTACCATATTTTCACCTTAGATGTTACCTCTCTCTCTAAATGTCTATGCCCACATTCAGATGGCCTCCAAGCTTTGTGGTTCTTTCTAGATCAGAGTCAGCCCTGCCATAGCCATTGACCCTTTAATATGTCTGGCCAAGTTAGTGCTCACTCTCAACTCTTTTGAATTTAAAGGCCACTATTTCAACCAGATCAGCGGCGTCACTATCGATACCAAGATGGGACCTAGCTATGACCACAAAACAGACACTTGGATGGGAAAAAAGAATTAATTGAGGGAATAAGAATATCCAAGAAAAACCCAGAGACGAATGTTGAGAAAGGTCAAAGGTGCTGGACTGGATTCCATCCATAAGATCGAAAACCATTGCACAAGATAAAACAGAATGGAGGAAGAGACTGTGAGCCCTATGTGACATAACCATAAAGATGATGATTATGATGAATGGAATATGATGATTATGATGAACGGAAAATAATAATTAAGATGAACGGAAAATGATAATTATGATGAATGGAAACATCTGACATTCAATATTACTGTTACCTAGTTTTTCCAGCTCCACCCAGCCCAACCAACATGAGCTTAGTGCGCCTGCACTCTGTGAATCCTCCAGCCAGCTTCTTTAGGTAGGCCTTGACTGCAGCAAAACCTCTGCTGACCACTTCATGTGGCGGTGTGCGAAGGGATGGGTTGCTGAATAGTCTCACAGCTGAAATACAATGTCATGAAGAAGGATTGCCTGGATTTTAAACTGTTGTTATAATCAGTGTCAAACATGTATTCTGTCTTCAGAAGACAGAAGGAAAATTGTCACAACAGAAAACAAATGTTCATGTACTATTTAGGTGTAATGAGGATAAATCGACTTAAGAACGGTGATATCAGGAAGAGAGTCAGTACAGAACCAGTATTGGCCTTTTTAACCTCACAGTTACATGAAACTTAAAACCGTTCACAATAATTTAAGATGACACATGTGCATGTCCATTAAATATTTCTCTTATAATACCGGTTTCGAATTCTAGCAATCATTCTTGATGCCTTGTATGTGATTTAATAAAGATGATATAAAAGATGAAGGAGATTAATTACATTTTTTTCTCAACTTACACTGATATCTCATTAAAATGAGCTGTTTGTTGGTTTTTGTTTTTTTTAAAGTCATTATAATGTAGACTATTATTTGTAAGAGCAAAAAACAGAACATGCTGAAGACCACAAAGATAACATATGATTTCTCTGTGTCCTGAATGTAAAGTCTAGATTTACTAATCGACTGCCTGAGCTGAAAACAATGCAAGAGCTCACAGGCATTACATCAACAGGGTGGTCTCTGTGGCAAAAAGGTCAAGCCATTTGCCTTGTGCTCTCAAGGTCGAGGGTTCGTTTCATGGTTGCCCCATTGAGTTCATGAGTGACATTTTTTATGGAGATCCCTGGGGATCATTACCAGAGCTACAGAGTTCGTTCTCTGTGCGGTGCTCTCAGCCGGCAGCTAGCCATTCTGCAGAGAGAGACAGAGCCATATGAGATAAAACCTGGTGCAATAAAGTCGATCCTCTTGACTTTAACATTTTACATTAACCAATACAGAACAGGAGTCATCAGAGCAAACATCCCCCCCCCCAAAAAAAAAAAAACATGCGTAGGAGAAGATGAGAGCACTTATGGGTTTGCTCGAAATGTAATGAAGATTATCCTGAACTGAAAATGAACCATAAGTCATTTGCAGATTGTCACTCTCATCATGTTGAAACCAGGAGCGACTGTATTTGTGACCATTTCCTCGCTACTGAGCTTCTTAGTAATGATTTGTGTTGTGTTAATTGGCTCTCATCACAGACTGCCAAAAGGTTCTTCACCCATTGCAAATTCCTCTTTCCCCACACATTCTATGTCTAAGTTTCTCCAATATTGTGTGTCAATCTTTGTGTCATCGCCTTTCTTTTATCCAAGAACCCACTTCTTCCATTAATACTCTTTTTATGGGTGTCAGATATGACTGAATTAATTCAATTTTTCATGCTGTTTATGAGCCATTTTTCTTCAATCTTGGAGACACATGAGTTTTTCTTCTTTTTGATCATTTACATTATAACAAGCAACCATAATCATCAAGTGCTTTGCCAACTGGTTTTTTGTTTTTTAGCTCCTCCATAACATGTAATTTCCAACAGCTTTTATCAAATTGTGTTCTGATAGTTTTCCATGTCATAATAAAAGGCTGTGAAAAATTGTCTCTTCTTGTTTTCCTCTATATATTTTTTCTCCTAAATCTTATCAGACCTATCAGGCAACCATGGGGCAATTTTAAAAGAACATGAAAAATAAATCTTAGGTTTCTGAAGATTTAAAAAAAAAGAAAATTCTTGTCAAATTTAACTCTTTGAGTCCCAAGGAACGCATCACGTGCTAATTGGTTACTACCTTGCGGCCCAACCAGCGCATGATGTGTGATGGTTTTTAATTTACCACTTATCTGTAATTACACGCGAACCGCTCAATTTAAACTTCCTTTCTGGAGTGCATTCGTTTGGGTCTGGTGAGTTTTTAAAGCTATAAATCTATTATTGTGGGGTCTACTACGTTACTAAACAATTGTCTGAAAACAATATGTCCGATCAGTCATCGTCTTCACACCCAGCAAAGCGATTTACTGCTTTAGAATCATCACATTTGAAAAACAGTGGATCAATTAAAGTAATGTGGAGTTGGACAATGATAGTAGCAACGCGCAATTTCCCCAAACCGTTGACGGGTCAAGTTTTGATGAGCAATGTGTGCGTAATTTACCTCCTGCTAAGAAGACAAAACTGACTAATTCTGCCATGGCAACACAAGAGAAGCACCTCGTATGCGACACCAGCTAATCCAAATGTCAGCGCTTCTAGTACTACTATCCATATAATCTAAAACCATAGATATATATCTATGAACAGGTTGACATGTTGACATGTTTACAGTGCCTTTACAGTTTTTTCTATGTGAGGAATTCAATTGTTTTTAGAAAAGTCACTGTTTGTGCCACTGGAGAATATATTTTGACGTGTTATGGTGGTGTTATTAAAATTGCTATGGAACAGCTACTATTGCACATTTTGCTTTAATATTGGTTGTGCATACTTATAAGTGGTGTACCTTCCTTTGTGATGCATTTTGGATATACTATATCAAGAATTTTGTGATCAGCTTCTGGGTAAGTGGAAAAAACTTGTTCATAATTTATTCACCTCTCAAACTAAGTCACTGTTTTCTCTATTATATACTAACTAACGGTATAATTGTTTGTTGTAGCAGTATGCTAATATTAATCCTTATCCATTTATGTTTATTTTCATGTATGGTATGTGTATGTTGAACATCAGCTGCAGTTGTTTGGTTTGTTTTAAAGTGCTGCATTTGTTAAAAGTCAAAATCATATTACCCCCCCTTGGGCCTCTGATGCCATTACCCTAGGACTCAAAGAGTTAATGAAACCAGTTTAAAAAAAATCTTTTCACCTTTTAAGTTCTATAATTATTGCAAAATGAATATAATTTACATTGTGTACAGATCAAAACCACTATAATTCACACCATGTACATAACAAACAAGACTATAATTCACACTGTGTACAGAATCTATCTATCTATTGTCTTCTTCACTTTTACCGGGTTGCAGCCCAGTGTCATGGTTTTAAAATATTTGTTTTGTGCCTCTCGCGTGATTTGAGTGACAGTTTTCTGGATCTTTTGGCCGTATTCAGCTACTCCATCTATCCATTTTTTCCTGGGTCTTCCTCTGGCCTTTCTTCCTGATGTTCTACTGTAAAAGGCCTTATAAACAATCTGATCCGGTTGCATTCTTACTAAATGGCCAAACCACTTCATTCTCTGTCTTTCAATATGTTCCATGCATGCTCTTGTTCCAACTTTGTCTCTAATGCTGACGTTTGTGACTCTGTCTCTTTGTGTATTGTTGGTGACTCTTCGGAGACATCGCATTTCACACGTAGTTATTTTTTGCATATGTGATTTGTTCATTGTCCACGTTTGGCACTGATAACATAACGTAGGGATGAAAATGCTGTTGATCATCCGTTGTTTGGCTGGTAACAAGATCTTTGGATGACGAAGAAGTGGGGCCAGTTGGTAGTTGACTGCATTGGCTTTTTGAACTCTAGCCTGTGGTGTACAGAATAAAACAATTATAATTCACACAGTGTATAAAACATTTTTAATAACAAACATCTAGCTTACATTTGAGATTTGGCAAGTGGCCCAAAGTTCCTGGCAAGCTTTCCAACAATGGATTATTTGAGATGCTTAACACCTTCAGGTTCTGTAAACGGCAAATGTGAACAGGGACTGAAGTGATGGCTTGAAAGTCTAAGTGCAGAGTTTCCAGGCCATTCAGGAGGAAAATAACTGGAGGTATACCACCATACTCTGTGCAACCTGAATTTTTAAAAAAAGGAAATAAGTCTTCTATATAATGGTTTCAAAGGTAGTATAGAGGAGAATAAACTATTTCCTCTATGCACTTCAGGTAATGCCCTGCAAAACAGACTTGCACAGAATGATAGTTACCTGTCGAGAATGGACAGTGGTGAACCAGAGTTAGCGGCGCAAGAGCTGCTCAATGAAAATTCACTCCCAGGTGACATCATAATATATACAGATGGGTCTCTGGTAAGAGGTAAGAAGAGTGAATGGGGTTTTATCGCAAAGATGAATTACCAATTCTTTAAAACAGACAATGTCACTGTATCAATAATTTGAATGGAGGTGGAGACAGAAACATCAGCTTTCCAATGGCTTAAGAGCAGCACAGCCCAACATCTTGTGATGTAACAGACTCACAGAGCAAGTTCAGAAAAGTGAAACAGGTGTTCTGTGCACAGAGTGGCTTTCATCACTTGAAAAACCCAGATCAAGAGCATATCATGGATTTTCTTTCCAGGATATTCAGGTGTGCAACATAACAAGCAGGCTGATTAATTAGCTGCTGCTGCTCCGCTGGGTGGTGAGCAACTATATAATAATGCAGATGTGGTGAAGGCTCTATGGGATCAAATGGACAGTGCAAAAGAATAGATTGGTAATCCATACACTGAAAGATTTATTCAACTAGGGGTATAAAGAGTTTCTGGAAGATATTCAACATTGAAGGGGAAAGAGAGGCAGACTTTTAATCAGGTTGCAACTGGTACTATAAGCATGCAACTTTCAATTGGTTACTGAAGAAGGAGATGGAGCACACATGGAAATGTCCAAAGTGCAGTGATGTCAGTTCTTGATTCACTTATTCTGGTAATGAAAATTTCTTCTTCCTTATTTTCATTTGCCCTTCAAAAGGTAGTTGGTATGTTTTGTTCAGGTTTCTAGCCATACACACCCAACAGCATGGGATCTTGAAATCCACACAGAGATAATGGAATTTTAAAGCTGTTTTAAATTTTAAAGAATGACTTTATTTGCACCATGTTTCATTTTTTAAGGCTTGGTCTCTCTCAGTGAAGACTGGTTTGACCATGTGCAATGACCCTCAAGAATTTTTCCAACACCTTGTGATGAAATCATCTCAGTTCTTTCAGAATGTAAAATCTTTAACAATTTTGTTCAATAAAGAAACTAAGAATTATATTTACTATGCACTGAGCGCAAATACTACAACCATATGCGATTAAAAATTGTTTCCAATTCTTAGACAAGATAAAGAAATTAGTCGTGACCTAAGATTACATAATATTACCTGCCAGGTCACTGGAAGAAACAAGAGGTGCCAAAAATATAACATAATAGGCCTGGCTGTGGCTCTTTTGAACTTGCCAAATCAGGGGAATTGACTGACTGACTTTCTACCCCACCAGGACATCATACAAGCGATAACACCCGATGACCCAATGTGCCACCATTTGGGTGAGGATCACCGTGGAGATGTCCCAGAAACCACGTTCAGCCTTTAGGCCATATTTATGGCCAGGCTATATCTGGCAAGGGCCAGAGTAGGGCTTCAAATAACGAAAAATTTTGTCCTAAAAAGGACGAGAAGTATATAATCAGGGGAATTAAGTCTGGCCCGTAAGAAAAACCCAGACAGTGTGTCTCCATACTTGCGTCATTTCTCAAACCTTTCAGTGACACTGGGTAGAACTAGATTTTCCCCACTCGATAATTGTTGATAAGTAGGGGGAGTCAGTAAGTGATTGACACTAAAAAGAAAGATAATTGTAGTCTGGAGGTACAGCAGGGGTAGGGCTTAAAGCCTCTCCTGAAGGAAGGAGTTTGTTACAGATAAAGGGGAGGAGCCAACTCTTCTAATGGAGATAAGGAGAAAGATGAATACAGCTAGGGGTCTTGGAACCAATCCAGTCTGAGGCCAGCATGTCATCAAATATGAGCTAACCTAGAACATCAATCTAGCTTTGTGAGTATTTTTTGGCAAATTGCTGTAATTTGCCTAGGTATGACTGAATATCATTTTCACTTTTATTCACCTATTATGAGCCTACCTATTCTACTTTAACTTTTCTGAATTATCTAAATACACATTCTGCCTGAAATAGTTCCTTGTAAGCATGTTATTATCTCAGTTTGGAAGCTTGTAAACTACTCCTATTTCTTGAATGTTTGTATAAATATTTTTTTCAGTGTATGTGTTCATGTTTATTTAAAAAAAAAAAAAAAAAAAAACAAGAAAACTTAAAAACTATTTTTATTATAATGAAATGTACTGAAATTATAATTATTCAAAAAATCAATAAAACAGGTGTAATGGTTATGGGGATAGTATGCCCACAAGTGCAGCCATGTGGTTATGCTTTTGATAGCTCACCATGTACTCAATGAAATGAGTTTACCTACCCAGAGGCTTGAGGACCCAGGGTGAAACCCTGAGAGTATGTGATTAACTGTCACTGGAAATACAATATTCTGGACAGCTGGCAAATATACATTTTTGGGTTTTTAGCCCAAAACCTGTTACTGCATGTCCAGAAAAAAAACAAAAACAATGTCAGCCAGTTTTGAAGTCTGAGTAAGGATGGACAACAGACTTATAAGACCTCAACTATCATGACAGGACATGAGAGGGAAGGCAGGAAATGAAGGACACAAGACAAAAGATCTTCAGATAAGATGCAGAGAATGTGAATATGAGAAGGGGAGATGAAATATGTTTTTATTAGAATGTGCTTGTTTGGTGCAAGTCTAGATACTACATAATTGTACTTATTTTATTTATTACAGTTTCCGTCAGGGGCAAGGAACAATCAGCACTTATCAAAGCAGAGCGTTCGGTGTACGAATCTACATTGCGTGGGAGATCAGCAGGCTGGGAAAAGCTAGACAGAGCATCAAATCGAGGGCTGTCTGAGGTTTCACTTTATTAACTCTTTGAAGACACTGTGCCAGTATACTGGCAAATAAACATATCCCTAATGGATGAATCACCAGTATATTGGCATATGATAGTGACACTAATTTTGTTCCGTTTGTGGGGAAAACAAACTTTCACTAACAAGTTTCTGAACAATTAAGATTAACAACAGGATGTCCTTTTATTTAAATTGTTAAGATATATTCTGCACTCATTTATCTTTAATCTGGTATATTATAAGCCCTGATACAGCCAATACTTTTTCTTCAGGAAGGTTTTAGCTTTGCCGTGTTGCAGTAAACAAATTCCATTCAAAATTAATGCTGTCCAAACCCCAGAAAAAATGTGGTCCTGAAAGAGTTAAATCAAAAAGTTATGTGCATCATTTTTTTTTCAAAAACTTACCATCATCATAAGAACATCAATCTGAAGCATCTCATTAATACTGTATCATCATCATCACTGTTTGTTCACTTATTACAAAATGAACAATGTCATCTAAATGAGTGCTGTGATGTCAATTCCCAATTCAACATTTAACATTCCATCAAATTCGTAGTGCATCTGCCCGAGCAGAAAGGAACAACCAACTTCACACAAATAAGCCAATCAAATAGATGTACACACAAAACACAGGCCCTGGCACAAAGCAAAAGTCCAAATGGATGAACAGCCAGGACTTTCTGCTAGAGCATACAGCTGATTATCAAAAATAAAGATGAAGCAGAAGAAATGTTTCCCCCACATTTTTAAGTTTATAATTGAAGGTCACCTTATACACTGTATGCGTATCCATTTCTTAATTTTGGGCTCATAAAATACGGGTTGTCTTATACATAGGGGTATTTTATGCACAGAAAAATACAGTAATTAATGATGTCAAAACAAATATACAATTTGCAGGCTGCTTTACTTACTTATGCATGCTGCTCCAAGACGAGGAACTTTCCAAAATAAAGAGGCATTGAGATGTGCCAATTCATTGCCATCAAGCTGAGAGTTTTTGTTGTGATCAAATTCATGAAATAAGGCTATCAGTTTCTGTAAATGATAAGGAATACACATTACATAATGTTTGTATGTTAGAACAAACAAATATATGACTGAACTTATGAACAAATGGAAGACCATAAACAGATATGCGAACGATTACACTAACAAAAGCTCTGTTACTGTTAACCCTCTTAGCACGGACGGGCCGACTATTGGGCGGCGGATGTCTGGCCAAAAACACGGAACGGCCGATCATCGGCCCGATCATGTTTCGCCTCTAACCGCTAAGAAATCTCCTATTTTGAAACACTGAAAGTGATTCATTTATATTAACTGCGGTTTTAGCTTTACACAAGGCGTCTTTCGAGTGTTTGATATCGAAGTGAAAATTGTTGTTGAATTTTTTAGATAGTGACCTGAACCGCTAAAAGTATGTCTGACTCGTATGTTTCTGCCCCTAAACTTGATGTTGATAAAACATTTGAATCAAGTGATGACACTAATTATGTTGATACTGATGCAGGATTTAGTGTTAGTAGTAATAGTGGGAATCAGATGGGGACGCTGTTGTGTTCAGTCACAGCCCAACCATGGCTCAGGGTATATCCACCCGAAGGTGTTGACACTCCGGCACATCCATTTCTTGTGCTGACTGATGGTGAAAAACACATGTCACCTAAAGATATTATTGCTGTTTCGTATATATATATATATACCTGTTTTTGACTATTGAATTGCTTACAACATTTGCAAAAAGGCCAAAGATCAATAAAAACATTTCAAATAAAAAAATTTTTGTTTTTAGTTTTATGTTTCAAGCATTGAAGTTGAAAATTCAAATTCAAATTTTCTATTTTTAGATATGCAAATAAGATAATTTGCATATACATCAATAAAATTTTACGATATTGTGAAAATCATGAACTTCAATCTATATCCTTCAAATATATATATTATTTCATGGGGGTCAGAATAACAGAAATCTGTCAAAAAAATTAAATAAAGTAATAACCAAATTCACTGAAAAAATGCTCCGTGTTTTTGGCTAGACCTCTGAAAAACCTTCCGTGCTAAAAAGGTTAAATTTCAAACTATGCTGAAAATGTACTTCTGAGGACCAACCATTTTCTTCTTTTTCTTCTTCACTTGCTCTTTACAGATTTAGGTGTCGAGAGAGAGAGATATAAAGTTCTGCTTCTTGCTCTTCTGACCGCTCGACCACAGACAACATCGAACGGTGCAGAGTTACTCTGATATCTTTTGTTCTTGGTCTACCTTGTGATCTTTGTCCATCTCCTCTTTTGGTAATTGTATGGTACTGTATGGTGTCACAAGGCTTTCTCTGTAAGTGGGCATACCATATGATTTGTTGTCTTTGTATTTAATTTAAAACTGGCTCTGTGTCAACTTTTTCTCTCATGACCTTGTTGCTGATTTGGTCTCATCCTGTCACTCTGCAGTCCTTCTCAAACACCTCGTTACCATGGTTACTAATTTCTGAAGACCAATATCAAATAATTAATCAAAATAATTTATGTCATTCTCAAACAACAAATCATGTGTGAATGATTATTTGTCTGTGTACCAATTGATGTGTTATGTGTGACTGCATTCTACATTTAGTTAAAATATCGTACAAAGAATTGGATTTACCTCTAGCAGTTCAGACTTATTTACTAATTTATAACAAACGAAGATGGGAAATTGGATGAAGAAATTAGCATCAGATGAAGTACTGAGACAGCTATTCCCCCCCCCCCCCCCCCCTTTTTTTCCCTTCTCGGTCAGCAAAAAGAAACGTCTCATACAAAGTATATAATCCCCACCCTATGCTATCAGTGTCAGACGTGGTCACTCACAATAAACCAGAAAAGAATATTAGTAACCATGGAAATGAGATGTCTGAGAACTGCTGCAGGAGTGACCAGAAGAGGTACAATCAGGAATTAGGTCAAAAGAGAAAAATAAATTAGCAACAAAACCAATTTTTAATTACACACAGAGAGAAATTCTACAATTGCACAATGTGTCCGTGGAGGAGGCAACCAGAAGAGTGAGAAGTAGAACTTTACATTTTTCTCTCTTGACACTCAAGCTATAAAAGAGGAAATGAAGAAGAAGAAGAAGAAAGGTCGCTGTGGGCTGATTAGTTTATAAAAATATGGAGATAATATCATATACTCAGTTTGCCATAATGCATAAAGAAGGATCTTTTACTGTTAACTTGAATGGACACACTGCATAAAATATTCAGTTCCTAATGGAGTAATATCTTTGTATTAGTTTTTTTAAATTTCTGTAAATTACTCTGAATTTTAGTGATGATTTTTCAGTCTAATTAGACAGTAACAGGAAAAACCAACCAACCTCTTTTCCTAAGTAATGTCTGAGAGATGAGTTTGTCTTGAGGAAGTCTTCAAACTGATTTAGTGGCATTTCTACCTTCGAATCTGCTGTGACGATCCAAGGAATACCTGAGGAAAAATACATAACTTAGAATATAGGTTAGGGACAGAACTAAACAAATTATGGAGTCAAGAGGTGAGCAAAGAGGCTGCTGCTGCCGGATGGGATGGAAGACACAATGAGTAAACCTGATGGTGTTATAACTAAAATGTTTTTACCCAATATGGGTTCCGCGCCATATTTTTGAGAAGAAACAAAAACCACTGCAGTAGTAATTTTTTCAAAACTATCCTGTTCAACCCTCAGGGTTATAGGGTTATAATTGGGATATCTAGTGTTCTCAGAGTATATATATTCGTTACTTTAAATTCATATACCTTGTAACTATTTGACTAAAATGTAATTTGTATTGTTTCCAATTTTGCTTTGATCTGTGATGTGATTATGATAGAAACTGTACTATGAATAATTAGACAATCTTGATAGCATTGTGTCATGAACATGGTGGATATGTTGTTTCCTTAGTGTGCAATCATTGATTATTCTCCTTGATTTTATATTTAGGGGAAACTTCTTCAAAGAAGCTATTTGCATTCTTTACCATTCCACATATGGATTTTAGTCCTAGTAATCACGCAGCATGGGCTGTTGTGTGCAGCAAGTTTTCCATCGCCATAGACTCAATGCCCCATAAGAAGCACATAATAAAAGGCTACTAAATAATAGTTTGCTGATGTGGGCCAAAAAGTGCAGATATCACAGCCTATCTGAAAACCCCAACATGTCAATTACCCTTTTAAGGGCAAATACAGAAAAATAAGAGAAAGAAGAGTGTTCTTACACAAGAACCAACAGGGCCAAATTAATAAAGGAATACCAAAAATAGATGGAGACAGAATTAGGGGCAGAAGTTATTAAGGTGGAGAGGATACTCCTTGACCTGTGTAAGCAGCAAAAGGTGTTGTTGTTCATCCATCACGAGTGATAAAGACCAGTTTTCATTTAAAGCAGTAATGATCAATGATTAAGGGAATGAAGGTGGCAGATAAGCCTAATATGAGCCTGGATAGTTCTTGAGCAGAGTGGACAACAAGTGGAAGCTGCAGTAAGTGTGGGATTAGCGAATCAGTTCTTTCTAGTCTGCCTCTGCTTCTCTGCCTGTGCAACCTTGCTACCTGGAAGGCTGATGCACCATGCCTGAGGGATGTACGAAAATCAGAAAGGTTTTTCTGTCCTCCCTGGGACCTTTTCCCTTGCTGGAGCACACCATAACATACTATCTTTGGGAGACGATAGTCTGGCATACAGGCTAGGTGACCTGCAAATGTTAGAAAGAAGCACAAAGAATGATATTATGATACATGGTGACAAGTCAAAGCAGTTTTCAAAAAGCCTGAAAAAATGTGAAACTAAATTATTGCACAATCACCAGTTTCAACAGCTATAAAACAAAACAAAAATGTTGACATATTGGGCACATCAGGAGAAGAACTGAGCACAGAATGACCAAACAGGCACTTAGAAGGGAAACAAACTGATTAAGGATATGACAAAAAACCCTAAGGTAAACACTGAAGAGAGAGGGCAAAAGGTGCTAGACTGTATTCCATCCATAGTTATGTAACAATTGCACACGATAGAATAGAACAGAAGAATAAACTGCTAACTGCAAGTCCTGTGATGTATAATAGCAAGTATGACAACAACTGTTCACATCTTACTCTTGGACATTCTGCAGAACCTTTTGAGATTTAAAGTTAACCTTTCAGGAGATAAAGTTAACCCTTTGAGATTTAAAGTTAACCTTTCAAGAGGTAAAGTTAACGTTTCATGAGTTAATATTAACCTTTTGAGATTTAAAGTTAACGTTTCATGAGTTAATATTAACCTTTTGAGATTTAAAGTTAACCTTCTGAGAGATAAAGAGAGCCACTGTGGTCTAGGGGCTTGATGCTTGCCTGCGGGCCGGAAGGTGGTGGGTTTAGGTCCTGATGGGTGGCGGACTTTTTTAAAAAACTTGACTTTTGACAACCCAGCCTTGAGTTGGTACCAGGTACAGTCTTAGGAAATAAAGCGGCCAGCATGATGCTGACCACATCACCCATAAGTGCCGTTTTGTCTATAAAATATAGGTCTAGCCCTACATACCCAATACGCCAGAAGGCATGGAAAAGGGTCCTTTTTCTGAGAGTTGAAGATAACCAAATTTTTCAATTTGTCCTGTCCTTTGCCATCTAGTACTGCTCGTTATGAATATGATTAAAGAAATGGAAAAACCATGAGTGTCTGAAAATTAAATGTTGAATTAAGAATCCACAATACACCACTGAGAACATTCCAATAATCACTCTGTTCCCATCTTCAGCAGCAAACATATGCATTCTGATTCTGATGACACCAGTAATAGTCTGTATATCTGTCTCATATTTACCTTGAGTTTTGAGGATCGGCCAGATCCCCTGTTTACTTCCCGCAGCACCATTCTCATCTGACTATAATGATCTATTTGTGCTTTCATACTGTTTACTCATTTCCCAAAAACCATTACCACATCTAGCTTGGGGAGTCGCCGTGGCGGAGCAACTAGATGCTCACCGTGGATCAGAAGGTGCTGGGTTCGCTCCATTGTGGAGTCTGACTTTTTTCAAAAATGACCTTGGCTCCCAGGTCGACCCAGTCTTGAGTGGGTACCCGGTGCAGTCCTGGGAAGCAAAGGCGGCTGGCGTGATGCTGACCACATCACCCATCTTGTGATGTTTGGTCTGTAAAATATAGGTTTAGCCCTATACGCCCTATATGTGGAAAAGGGTCTGTTACTTTACTTCCATCTAGCTTGTCATGCATCTCAGAACTGAAAAATGACAACAAAAACAAAAAACAAGCAAGTTTCTAAGCTTTTATTTGTCTTCTTACCACACAACAACAGTGTTTTCAGTTTGGTCAGCAATTTTAGCTCCATTGGCAACATCTCCAGAGGGTTGCTGTTGAGGTTGAGATATTCCAAATTTGAGAGGTTGCCCACTTCCTTTGGGACTGATGTTAGCAGGAGGTTGGCTAAAATAAGCTCTGTGATTGGGCTAGGGTCTATGACAGTGGTCGGCAGAATCTGTACCTGAATCAATTGAATACAAAATGTAAAAACATAAATATGAAAATTGAATCAAAGTGTTACAATTGTTTACAGCAATATGTCTATTAAATATAATAAAACAATATGTCCAACTTTTCTGGGCCCAGTAGCATTTAATGTGTGATAAACTCATTCTAATAAATCCTAAACATTATGCAACATCTTCTGTTAATTTTCTGCATTTGGTCATACAATACTAAAGAAATCTGGCATTCCCAGTTGCTTCTTTAAAGTTTTGTACTCATGATTTTTCATAGTATAGTTTCTCTCCGTAAGCAACTGCTGTGAAAAGTTTTGGAACTGTAAGAGTTAAAGTCAACATTAAATCTTTGTTAATTAAACATTATGCTATTTAATAAAAGTTACTCTTCTGTCCAAAATAATCTACACACATGTATAATTCCTAATTTCAGACAAATTTAGACATGAAAAAAATTATAAATCTACAAATAATATAACAGCAAAACTAATCAACATAACACTGTATCACAATTACAACAAGCTTAGAATAGCATATGCCTGATGCGCCTAAAGGCGTGTAAAGGGGTCTTTACTTTACTTTACTTTAGAATGGCATAATTATTATATAATTCACGTGCTTTGCAATGGTCTAGTATTTTTCAAACGTTTGACACCCGCTGAACAGGAAAATATGAGACATTTTCTTTCACAGACTGACTAACATTTCAGGCAGAAGCAAAACCAAAATGTGATACACACAAAAACCACTCTTTGTGCAATTTTTAGAATGGAGGTTTTGTGCAATCTTCAGAATGCAGGTTATCCACAATGAAACCAGTGCTTGCCATTTTTGTAAATATTGCATGGTGACATTCCAATCTCTCCACTGTGCAACTCTCACACCACTTTTTGAAAGCCATAACAATGGTATTTGTCTAAATAACTGGTCAAAGAAATTGAACCTTGGTACATAGAAGATTACATTGACAATTTCATTAACTTCTAAGAACAGAGCAGCACTAAATGTAAATAGAATTTATGTATTAAATTAAGTTTTAAAAAAATGGTTTTATTAAATCTAATAACTCCTGCTCAAAGGTGAGAAAATCTGTGACTGTGGCATTGTTTTTCATTGACAATGTTCTGCAATAACATCAATTTCATTTCTCTGTTTATTTTTTTATTACTCTGAGCACTACATTGTCACTACATGATTGTGCTATGTAATTTCCAATTAAGTGGTTTTGTTCTGGTCGACCTAGATTTAGGTTATAGCCCTGAAACATAGTTTTCTCTAGAAAAAAACATTTTGCTGGATAAAAACATGTTCTGAAATTACCAGTTGCTGTTGCCACAGAAGATGATGAGGATGACTCTTTCTTTCATCCTCATGAAAATGAAATTTATGAAAACTGAATTGTATGGTGAACTGGTTTATAGTGAGAAAGAAATGCCCAATGTCATCGACTTCACTCTCTCACCGCAGGTAAAGTGGATGATCAGGGTGTTTTACATGGGAGGTAAATTGTAGAAGAAGGAGAAAGTAAGTCATACTACACGTAAAATATACCTTTAAATCAACACAATGCAGCCTCAGCAAAGAGGGACTCTGGAACAAATCTGCTGGTAGTGCTTCAACAGCACTGTTTTTTAAAGATAGCATCTCAAGTCTCAGACATTTAGAAATGCCATCTGGTAGTTGTTTCAGCTGCTCACAGCTCTGCAGCTCCAGGTATTGGAGATTTGGGAAGAATGAGTAGAAATCTGTTCTCAAAGTAGTCACTCTTGGCACCTCACAAACAATGAGATTGATTGTCTCCTCATATGGTGTAAACAGTTCACTCCTGTGAATGATAAAATATGGATTAAACTAGCAGGAGTGGGGGGAAAAACTCAAGCAGCAACCATCATCATTAGTCTGCAGGTTCTTTACAGAATGTCGTTCTCATCAGGACACGCCTGAAAGTCTCTATATTTCTAGCTAATTCTCCAGCTCTATGTGCTTTAATAGCAAATGCATCTTCAAGCAGCCACACATGCAGCAACTCTAGAGAATGGCTCACAGATCATCACTTCATGTATACCTCTAACTTTGTTTCCATTATGTCTAAGTGTCAGAGCTCTCTGTAATGCACGATCTGTAGGAAGTCTTGACATATGTCCAACCCATTTGATTTGTTGTCTCTTGCTGTGGTTTAGTACTGATTCCGTCCCATCTGATATCATTTCTGAGCCTGTTTCTTCTAGTTCAACATCATCATCATGTAGCAGGTCCTTTGCAGAACGTCGCTCTCATCACAGTCTGCCTGAAAGAAGCAAGGTCTCTCACCAGTTCTCCCGCCTCATGTACTTTCATATTCAAGGAGTCACTTATATCCTGTGCCCATCTTCGTGCCGGTCGGCCCCTGCCACTCCTTCCTGGTACCATGCCTTCTGCTATAATTGTTTCCAACAAATTTCAGCTTTCGAGACAGGATGCTGTTTATTAGTCAATATTTCTTGATGTTCAGATCTTTCAAGATGTCAGTATTTCTCCTCTTCTTTGTCCAAGATATTCTGAGAATCTTTCTATAGCATTTCAGCTCAAAAGCCCCTATTCTCTTTCTTAAGGACTGAGAGATAGTCCACAACTCACATCCGTATGTAGCCACAGGGAAGATGCATACTCTCAAAATTCAAATTTTGATCTCCTTGCTGGGGCTTAACCATAGACTCTTAAGGCTGTTCAATCTTTGCATTGCTATGGCCATCCTCCTTTTTATTTCTGTCAAACAGTCTCCATTGCTGTTTATTATAGAGCCTAGATATTCAACGTTTGTGACATTTTTAATTTCTTCATCATTTATTGTTAATTTTGGGTGACAGCCAGTTTTATCTGTGAACATTATTTTCGTTTTTTTAAATCCAAGAACAGATTTTGATCTTCACTGTGCTTTTCGACAGGCAATATTACATTTTCTATTCCCTTTACGCTGCTCGAAAGGAGGACTGTGTCATCTGTGTAGTGAAGTTTTCTTCTAGTTACAATGAGGATTTGTCATAAACATTACATTTTTGTTGTTTAACTTGCCCTTTTGCTCATAATGTCCATGTTTGGCACGGGAAACCAAATGACTTATTCCTGTTTCAAAACATGAAGTTTTCACTTCATAGCCATAGATTTTTGAACAATCAGGACTTGAATGCTAAAATTGGAAAATGGTTGGGACCCAGATGGAGAAGTTCTACAATCAAGGCATGAGAAAGGTGAAGAAAAGATGGGAGACATGCTTCGTTCACACCAATTTCTATGGACATGACTTGACCCCTACATACTAAAGTGCAAAACATTCGGATGTACGTAAGGACAGTGGAGCATAGCTGGATGTTTTTGTGTGCATTGAAAGTGATTCCTGACAAACCATATCAAATTAATTCTTCTACAGAATAACAACTTTCAATATTCTAAGAATGGGACCAACGATGCTGACAGAGGAAAGCTTAGTACATGAAAATGAAAATAACAAGAGGCAGAGAAAGACACAGAAAAAGATGGATTGAGGGAGTGACCAACAGCCTAAGACCGTAACATCATAGCATACCAAGCAATGGCGTGTGCTCTGGCTATACCAACAATCTGTTAAACTCTGAGGCTTCATGGCACAAAGCAGATACTGGTAATAGAAACAAGACTGAAGATTCATTAATGTTCGAAAATTAAGAACGATTTGTCTGTAAATCATGAGCTAATGAATGAGCTAATGATTATAGAGCTTAGTATCTAAAGTTAAACTGGATTTGTCTGTAAATCACAAATATGAACTAAACTATGAATGAGCTAATGGTAATAGAGCTTAGTACCTGAAGTTAAATTGGATATGTCTGCAAATCTCAAACATGGACTAAACTATAAATGAATTAACTGTAATAGATCTTGGCAATCATCATCATCATCATGTGCCCTGCTAACTGGCATAAGCGTTCAGGCATCTCCACAGATCCCTGTCCCTTTTTCTCTAGATCAGTTCCACTGATGATATCCCTTCATGCCACTGTCACAGTCCATCCGTCATCGTCTCGCTTGGTCATCATCTCGCTTGGTCTGCCTCTCCCTCTTCTACCATTGACCTTCCCAGTCGTCTTAAGCCTCCCCTCTCATCACATGACCAATGAACAGTGCTTGTCTCTTCCTTACAACTGTATATATTGATCTGCTTTCATTAGCTTCCATCAAGCAATCCTCATTAGTTACTCTGGTAGTCCAAAGAATTTTTAACATACCTCTGAAAAAACCCACATCTCGGTCACCTCCAAGGTCTTTCTAATTTGTGCATTCATATTCCATGATTCACTACCATACAGCAATATAGGTTCTAAATAACATTTCAGTACTCTCTTTCAGACATCCAAAGAGAGGGATCTGTTGCACAAGATGTTCTTCTTTCTGTGAAATGCAGCCTTAGCCTGATCTATTTTGCTCTTAATTTCTGACAGACTTTTTCCGTCTGATGTTATGATTGTACCCTGATATTTGAATTTATCCACTAGGATTAGCCTTTCACCTTCTATTCTAATATCACATTATGGTGGTACTCTTTTCTTTGATATAACCATTACCTCGGTTTTTTTTTTAAAATATTCAAGGATAGACCCTTTCTTTTGCACTCTTCCTCACTACAATGTCAAATAATGGTTGTAAATCATTTATATTTTCAGCTCTCAGTATTGTGTCATCTGCATAACATATGTTGTTTTTATTAGTACCTGAAGTAAAATTGGATAGGTCTGTAAATCTCAAACAAGGACTAAACTATGAATTAACTAACAGTAATAGTGCTTACATACCTGAAGTTAAACTCCTCCTTCATAATGATATTGATCCCAGGCAAGCACCACTGATGAGCTTTACAATAAACATTATTTCTAAACTTTTTTCTGATGAGAGTGTCACTGCTAAGTTCTGCCTGTATTTTAAAAAAAAACATACACCGATTACTAATTTAAGAATCAATATCCCAGCACACCGGGCATGCCCACAAATGCTCCTGCAGCAAATGTCTTTAGGTGCAGATGCTGACTGTTCATGCAGCATACTGATTATAAACATCGTTCTCGTCCTCTCATACATCCTTCATTGCTGATCCACACCTAATTCCTTGTTCGCACATTCTTACACAGGTTATTTTATCTAACCTGGTGTCTTCTATCAGCATTTGTTCATAAATGGCCTTTAGAATGAAGAACATACACTACTACTCTTAGTGACAGTAACAAATGATAAAGTAATACACAATGTTTATCTCATATATTCATTAAAAAAAAGCTTTTTATACCACTGGTGAGTCGAGCATATGATGCTTGAACCTATATTTGTAATAACTTATTGGCACAGGTGATGACATAAGTGATGACATAGGTGATGACATAGGTGATGACACAGGTGATGACACAGGTGATGACACAGGTGATGACTCAGGTGATGACACAGGTGATGACATAGGTGATGACATAGGTGATGACACAGGTGATGACACAGGTGATGACACAGGTGATGACACAGGTGATGACATAGGTGATGACATAAGTGATGACATAGGTGATGACATAGGTGATGACATAGGTGATGACACAGGTGATGACATAGGTGATGACACAGGTGATGACATAGGTGATGACATAGGTGATGACATAGGTGATGACACAGGTGATGACATAAGGTGATGACACAGGTGATGACATAAGTGATGACATAGGTGATGACATAAGTGATGATATAGGTGATGACATAAGTGATGACATAGGTGATGACATAAGTGATGATATAGGTGATGACATAAGTGATGATATAGGTGATGACATAAGTGATGATATAGGTGATGACATAAGTGATGACATAGGTGATGACACAGTGATGTGATGACATAAGTGTATAGGTGAGGTGACATAGGTGATGATGACACGGGTAATGACACGGGTGATGACATAGGTGATGACATAAGTGATGTGATGACATAGGTGATGACATAGGTGATTACATAGGTGATGACACAGGTGATAACACAGGTGATGACATAGGTGATGACACAGGTGATGACACAGGTTATGACAAGGGTGATGACACGGTTGATGACATAGGTGATGACATAGGTGATGACATAGGTGATGACATAGATGATGACACAGGTGATGACACAGGTGATGACATAGATGATGACACAGGTGATGACATAGGTGATGACACAGGTGATATAGTGAACACCAAGCCAGCCACCTTTACTTTCCATGACATTCTAGGCTGGGCTAATGCAGGAGTTCAGGTTTTAAATATTTACCGTATTTACAAACTTGAAAAAAAAAATCCTTAAAAGTATGATACAACTTACAATTAAAAATGCCTTTGGCTTCTAACCTATCAATGTTGTTGTTAAGGATGTCAAGAGTGCAGATTTTACATGGTGGCGTATTAATGACAGTTTAAAGATGGCCAACCCACTTTTGACATGCACCAAAGAAGAGCAGCGTTCTATTACCCATTTTTGCATCAGTGAAGGTGTGAAACATATATAAATTTATTGGTTAATGAATGTCCTGTATGATGATGATGCATGCATGTCGGTCCAGCAAGTGTCTGAGTGTAGTAGAAAGTTTCAACATGGCATTACTTCTGTGACAGACTGTCCCCTCTGGGGTCACTACTCGGTGTGTCTGACCCGGTCGGGAAGAGTCTATCACAAAAATAATGCTGTTTTGTCATGATGCACTCTAATTTCCCCTTCTAATGATATCTCCAAAAGATAGCTAATAGATGTTGTGAGGGCCTTTTGGGAGACTTCTTTTTCTTCTTCGTGTTCATCAGCTGTAAACTCTGGCGGAAAGTTCTGGTTGTTCATCTACTTATGGACTAGTCCTGTTCCAGAAACTGAGTGTTGTGTGTACATCTGTTTCACAGGTCTGACTCATCTGCATGCAGACTGTTGGTTCCTTGCCTCTCAGGCAGATGTATTTCAACTTCGAAGGAAGCTCCCAATTAGTCAACTCTTACGACATGCTTCTGGGCAGGCAGTGGGTCTATTCTTGTTTTCCCCATAATGGGGCCCTGGAACCCACACGGGGACCTTCAGGAGTGAGTGAACAGTGTGAAATACAAACTTTACATTATGATCAGAGGTGAATGGTGCTGCGAGGGGTTACCAGGGCATATGGCTGATGCTCAAACAGTTACTGGTAATTACTGGTACCACTGGAAATGGAACTCTTCGCTTGCTGCTGAAGCTGGATAGGGGGCGCTTATGGCAGTGTCCCGAGTGCTGTGATTTCGATTCCTAATTCAACATTCCATGTCTAAAAGTGTGGATTGCTTCCTACTGATGCAGGTCAAGACAGTAAGATGTTAAAATCAGAATAAAGTAAAAGATTTACTTCAGGGTTATTTAAGTGTACTGGGAAATGAATGGGAAAACAGATTGGCTGTTACTTTACTACCTGGGGGTAAACTGATGCATGAAAAGCTAGATGTGGTCAAGGCCCTTTGGAAGCAAGACAACAGTGCAGAAGCACTAACAGATCATCATGGTCTCAATAGAACTGTGCAGTGGGGAGTGACCAGGGCATCTGACCAATACTTACAGGACAGGCAAGATGGATATACAATCAGAATGCTACTGGCTCTATGAGAATTACAACACTGCACTAGCTGCTAAAGATGGGGATAAAGTGCTTATGGGTATGTCCAGAGTGCTGTGATACTGGTTCATAACTCATCTGAACTAAAGTACAAGAACTCTGTTACCTTGTCTGTCTTTTTCACTATGTTGTCATCCATATGTTCTACACATGAGCTGATAATCTGTGAGCCATTCTCTGGAGTGGCTGTATACATGATGCCTCCATGCTGCTCAGCAAAAAGGTGACATTGTGCAGCATATGTGTGTACAAGAGATTTCATCAGCTGCTCCAGCTAAGCAAAGAAATATTACTGAGTTATATGACTGTCATCATGTGATTCAACACTGTTATAACTATCATGAGGTGTGATCCAGTAAAACTCATCCCAATGGCTATATTACAAACACCCGAAAGGTACATTAGCAGGTGTGGCAGGATTTAACGAAGCAACCATTAGGAATTATACATGCTTCTGGGTTGTCAGAAATATTTACTGAGGAATTTAGATAAGCATCCCACTGCTTGGTGAGATGCAGGCTACTGTCCATGAAAAAGCAACAAATCCTAATGTCATCACTTTGAGAAATACAACATAATAGTGAGAATGCAATGGAAACATACCAGATAAACAAAACACGAATCAATTCATAGTTTGTTTTCCAAAACCTTTATCCTTAATCAGTATCTACTATCTCACCAAGCAGTAAGCTGCATGTCTCACTGACTGCAGAAATTTCTGTTGATGACCCAGTGTTGCTTCTTGCTTCTTTACAGTTTTTTTAAATTCTGCTAATCAGATGTATACTTTTCATATGTTTGTAATAAAGCTATTGGAACTAATTTTGTTTGATCACACCTTGCAGTGTTCATGTGCCCTAATGGACGACACCAATTTAATAATCAAGGTAATATAAAAAGTAAAGAAAAAGACCCACTTCTCTGCCCTAGGCATACAGCCCGTGTGATGCAGGCTTCATATTTTTATAGCTCGATCCAAAAGAAAAATAAACATATTATAAACAAAATTATAAGCTCTCATCCAGCTGTGTTTATAGGTGTTCTTCATCAGTGAAGGACATGCATAAAAATATGTCAGTTCAGCTAGTGGATGAAGAGTAGGACAATATTGAATCTTCATGTCTGTATGAGATAACCTAGACATGAACTCTAGGTGAGACCAGACAGACCGACCATGGGATAAGTCATGGCCACTGAGCTGCACGCTTTGGAAAATTCACGGGCAGTCCGGAGCCAAAGGTGAACAGTGAAAGAAGAGAAAAGCCTCACTCAGAGAGAGATCGGGGGAGAATTTTCTAGAACTTTGTGACGGTGACATCGTGTAGCAGTCTATAAGAGCATAACGTATTATCGACTATTGTAGTGACCGACAGGAATGTGTTTTAGCTAGGTTATAATGGTAATCTGTATTGTATGGTGTTTCACGAAATTATGCAGTTTTGTAGCATTGTTGTGTGGGTTAGGATTAATCAAGTAGATTCTGTGAAAGCATTTATTTAAGGTTGTAATGCATTGTTGTGGCGTTAACATCTGCCCGCACACGTTTAGCCATTTACTCTCTGTAGCCTCAGGATCATCGTATCAGGGACAGTGACTTTGGACAGCCCTGTACGAGAGTGGTGTGGGTTCATGCCCAGTGCTTGTCATGGGAATGGGAAGGTGTGACTAGTGATTTGAAAAGCTAGCACCACCTGTGTTTGGGATAAGTGGCACCAACAGCTCTTGATGCTAACTTCCATAGGTTTAATGATTTTTGTACACTAAAGATTTTGTGTGTGCTCCACAGGTGTTCTGCTTGGTGTGTTTTTAGATAGACTTATCTGTTAACGGCCTGCAACATGGGGGAGATGTCATATACTAGAAAAAAGGTCGTTGACACCATTCCTGTCTCACCAGGTCACAGGGCCTCTCCTATGTTGCAGGAGTGTTATGATATGGCTTCTTCGCCATGCGCACACCGTATTTAATGTTTGTAGGAGGTTGTGTTGTTGTGAGTCTCTTTCAGGCTCCACAGGCACCTGTGTTCAAGTAAGAAGTACTGCAGGGTGAAGCGTTGTAGGAGCGACGGTTAATGAGTATCGAAACTGGAATGTTTTTGTATTTCTACGTTCGTTGAAAGTAGCTACCCTAACCCCCCTCCCTTTTCCCCGAAAAAGAAGCCAATGACAAGGAACATAGGAATAGAAAAACATTCCAGTTTCCATACCCCTGAACCATCATGCAAATATCAGAGTGTGAAAATAATTATGCAAGTGAGTGGTGACAACATGAGAAAAGAGAGAACATTTTAAGCATTGACCATTAGGAATAAATGACACCACCACAACATAGAAGAGGCCCTGTGACCCAATGAAGCATGAATGGGAAGGGAAGTCACTCTCTTTCTGCAGAACAAAATGTTACTGGTACCAAAAACGTTTTCATTAAAAAAAGAATTTACTATTCCTATGTGTGAACATTTATGGGACTCCCTGTGGGCATTAGGTTCTCTGCATAATATCACAATCCACCAGAAATTCTCTGTCATTTGCTAATTCCTCTGTCTTCTGAAGTATGTATATTGCTGAAAATGTCTTTGGTATTCTGTATCCATGATCCCACTGGTTGATGGTTGCTTCCTTTTCCAGAAGCCATGCTTTCCATTACTGTTCTTTATAAGCCCCACCCCCCTCCCCGCGGTAATGTTTAATATCACGAGAGAATTTCAGTTTTTGAGGCATTATGTTATTTCGGCCCCAGAAGGTTTTGCAGTAGATATCCAAAGGGGCAGAAAACCACTTAAAAAAAATTTGTGCTGTCATTTAACACTTTGAGTCTCAAGGAACGCATCATACGTTTATAGGTTACTGCCTAGAAGCCCAATGAACTCATGATGTGCCGATTCTATGTCTCTTTTGACTACCCCTTGGGCCTGTGATGCTAAACCCTCTGGCACTCAAAGAGTTAAGGGGAAATGATCAATGTAGAAGCCATATTTCAGTAGTGTGATCTGACAAATTATAAATCAACACAACAAGTAATAGTTGAGATTACAGCATAGGATTAGCACATCATGCATCTCAGTGTACTGAAAGAGTTAAGAAGTTATTTTTCGTAATGTAGCTTTCAACTCTTTCGACTTTCTGATTAAGTGTATGAAAAGCAAGAATGGTTTCTGTTGCTTGTATACTTTTGAACAACAAAGTATACCTGAATTCACCAGCCTCATGTTGGACAGAATTTTTCATTATTTTGGAGCACCAGCCTAGCTGTTGCTAGGGGCCCTAATGTAACCTAGTGGTTGAATGGGGTTTCTGGGACCTCTTCATGGGTGATCCTCATCCGCATGGTGGCACTTCATGTCACAGGGTGTTTATCGCTTAGTGTGATGTCCTGTTGGGTAAAACGTTAGTCAAAGTATACCTAAAATTGTTTGTTTTTTAAACCGGACAAAAAGAAAAAATAGCACTTGTTCAAATACAAAGGAAATACACAAAATGAGCACCATTACTTTAATTTAACTCACTCAGTGAAATAAGTTTCTTGAAAGACAATCATGACCTATCCAAATTGGAATACAGTTTACATCACAACCATCGAGTGACCTAATATAACTGTGTCAATCTTTCAGAAAGCAGCAATGGAGAAGAATCTTTTTTAAATCTTAGGAAGATGAAAAGCAACAACCACAATGGAAAATTACAAGTCCAACACTAAGAGACTAAACATAAACTGGGCTTCCAGTCAAAATAGCAGATGGGCAGATTTACTGTTTTTTGCTCAGATTGCAGTTGGTGTCAATTTTCTTTCACAAGAGACTGCTATGGATATTCTGTGTGATTTTTCGGTTTAGGAACAGAGCAACTATACAGTGACCTGTTTGCTATAAAGCCCGAACTGCGATTACTTGATTACTTAAATATATTCTGACTATTTGTTAAAAACAAAACAAAACAAAAAACTACTAAAAAAAACACACCTTAGATTACATATAGTGGCAATGATTAGGAGATGTTGTGTGGAGTAAATTAAAGAACACACTCTGCAAAGAACTTGCCTCATTTCTACAGAAGTCTGGTTTACCCTCTGGAAACATATTATCACACAGTGGCAAATGGAGTCTATTAGAGTAAAGTGTTGAGTAAGTCCATCCAGTGAAAGCTGATGCAAATGTGACATCAAGGCTGAGAGGAGTTGATGGTGGAATGGGAGCCACATTGACAAAGTGAAGAGGTGCATCAAGGGTCAGCTTGCACTTTTTGGACAGACGAATGTTGAAGTACATCTGATCTGGAATTTTAATACATGGAAATCTGGTAAAATTAAATGACAATAGGATGATCAATGAACATTTAATTAATACTAATGTAAATTAAATCATCGTCATCACCATGTGCCATTCTGGTAAGAGTAGGCTTCATGTTTTGCCATCTCAAATGATCACCAGAATCATGAATCAGTTCAATGTTTTTGTCTGACCCCATCCATTTGGCCAGATCATCCAGGAATTTATCTCTTTGCCTTCCTCTTGCTCTGTTTCTATCAATCTTGGCAGGAGTTTCAAAGTTCTTGAGTCTACTCCTCTTCATCTTAATATGTCTAAATACATTGACAGTCCATCTGATTGTTCTAAAAAGCTTACACCTTTCGTCTGTCTTGTCGAGGACTGCTTCATTTGTTTTTCTATCCTTCCAAGATACTCTTAGCATTCTTCTCAGAAACCACATCTCTGCCATAATATATTAAACTTTTGGAGACGAAGCCTTTTTGGAGTTTCAGTGCCAAGAAGACTGAGCCTTCAGGAGGAAATTCTCATAGTTAATACACAAAAAATTTAAAAAAAAAAATAAAAAATTAACACATACAAAACTATATATCTATATATATTAATGTAGGAAATTGAATGAACTAACAGAATATTTATTAATCAAACTGAAATATCAACATTTATTTAAATTACCTATTCTGATTTGCATAATTTATGCAAGCATTTTTGTTTAAAACTTGGGAACAAACATAACTAACCTGAAAAATGTGGGTAAATTTTTTTAATGGGTAAAGCTTCAATAAGTCCTAACACCTGTATTTTGGGAATTAAGGCCCTTGGAGGCCCTTCAGATATGTTTGGCACATGGTTCTACTCATTTTCCTGCCTCCAGCTATGTTTCGGTTGCTATGACGCAACAGTCCATTTCGCCATTTTTGGGCACAGGTAACCCCAGAAAAAAAAATTGATGTAAAATTACAGAACACATCAAGCTTTCTCGATTGGCTGGTATGAAAACCTGCCAGCCAATATCAAGGCTTCTATTGTATAGGGCCGCTCAATCGGCCCAGTCGTCTTTTTGGCTACTTTGTGTTGGGCTGATATTTCAGCCACATCGTCTCCAGAGGGTTAAGCATTTCATGAGTTGAGACAGAAAAAGAATCACTTAGCTGGCACTGAAATGGGAAACAAATGGATTTAGGAAGAGAAACTATAAGATGACAATTGGTGAGAGAGGCCAAGTGGGGTTGTCCGGATTTCCTCTACAGTATCATAAGGATTGCAGGACAGAACAGAATGGTGGACCGGATTTCCTCTACAGTATCATAAGGATTGCAGGATAGAACAGAATGGTGGACTAGACTGTCATCGTTTTGTGACAAATAATGACACAACAGGATGATGATGATCTTCAACAAATTATCCATGTTTTATAATAACTCAGACTGAACACTGAACACTGAACCAGAAAATGTGATTATGCAATTTCTATGGTGTATTTTCCAGTAGTTATCATTTTTTGGTCCTGTTATGAGAAGAGTGAAAATAGAACATACTGTGACCACTGGAAAGATTTGTGAAAAGAGAACAGATTTTGATGGCTTTTTATCATGGCATGGAGGGGTGTCAACACACAAACTGATTCATGCAGTTGCGGATCACAGATTGTGGAGAGGCATGATCGCCCATGCCAGTCAGCACGGCACTTGATGATTCTCCAGCCTAAAAAGTGTCTTATTCTTCCCTTCTAAATCATTCACCCCTCCCCCCCCCACCCTCCTCCCCCCCCCCACCCCCCTCCCCCCCCCCCACCCTCCTCCCCCCCCCCTTTCCTGTAAAAAAAATATGGATTCAATCATCTTTAAAAAAAAATGTCCCTAATCCTGTAGCACATCCTTTAAAATGGCTCTATATTAGAGATAAACTTACCAACCAAAAAGCACAGCCTGTGAACAGCAATCTTTGTGAACATGCTAGGCACCATGGGATAGCAGAGTTCCTTGTATCCCAGTTTTATTGGCAAGAATGCAAAGGCCAAATCAAACTTACGGGACTGGGTAGCTCCAACTAACCAGTCTACATTAGTACCAACTAACTGGCTGATCTGTAGTTCTTGCACTGTTACATATAAAAATATATTTGAACACACAAAATGTAGATAATTACAGGCAAGGATTAAACAGTAAATGACAAAAACAAAGGTTTGCATATGATTTATTAATATACTGTAAGATAAAATAATGGTTACAATATGATTAACACAGTTATTTGAAAAGTATACATAAAATATATATTAAAGTTTACAATCTATACTCCTAACATCATCATTATCATCATCGATCATCACATTATTTACAGAATGTCGCTTTCATCACGGCATGCCTAAAAGTCTCTCATTGTCTAGCCAATTCTCCAGCTCTATATGCTTTCATATGTAATAAATCTTCAATGTCCTGTATGTCCATTTGCAGATAACAGCCTCTGCCACATTTTTTCTGAAAACTGCACCTTCCAGGCCACCATGATGTCCAACAGGACACCATGATGTCCAACAGGACACCATGATGTCCAACAGGACACCATGATATCTAGTAGGCCACCATGATGTCTAACAGGCCACCATGATGTCTAACAGGCCACCATGATGTCTAACAGGCCACCATGATGTCTAACAGGCCACCATGATGTCTAACAGGCCACCATGATGTCTAACAGGCCACCATGATGTCTAACAGGCCACCATGATGTCTAACAGGCCACCATGATGTCTAACAGGCCACCATGATGTCTAACAGGCCACCATGATGTCTAACAGGCCACCATGATGTCTAACAGGACACCATGATGTCTAACAGGCCACCATGATGTCTAACAGGCCACCATGATATCTAACAGGACACCATGATGTCTAACAGGCCACCATGATATCTAACAGGACACCATGATGTCTAACAGGCCACCATGATGTCTAACAGGCCACCATGATGTCTAACAGGCCACCATGATGTCTAACAGGCCACCATGATGTCTAACAGGCCACCATGATGTCTAACAGGCCACCATGATGTCTAACAGGCCACCATGATATCTAACAGGACACCATGATATCTAACAGGCCACCATGATATCTAACAGGCCAACATGATATCTAACAGGCCACCATGATATCTAACAGGCCACCATGATATCTAACAGGCCACCATGATATCTAACAGGCCACCATGATATCTAACAGGACACCATGATGTCTAATAGGCCACCATGATATCTAACAGGCCACCATGATGTCTAACAGGCCACCATGATATCTAACAGGCCACCATGATATCTAACAGGCCAACATGATATCTAACAGGCCACCATGATATTTAACAGGCCACCATGATGTCTAACAGGCCACCATGATATTTAACAGGCCACCATGATGTCTAATAGGCCACCATGATATCTAACAGGCCAACATGATATTTAACAGGCCACCATGATGTCTAACAGGCCACCATGATATCTAACAGGCCACCATGATGTCTAACAGGCCACCATGATATCTAACAGGCCACCATGATGTCTAACAGGCCTCTATGATGTCTAACAGGACACCATGATATCTAACAGGCAACCATGATGTCTTACAGGCCACCATGATATCTAACAGGCCAACATGATATCTAACAGGACACCATGATGTCTAACAGGCCACCATGATGTCTAACAGGCCACCATGATGTCTAACAGGCCACCATGATATCTAACAGGCCACCATGATGTCTAACAGGCCACCATGATATCTAACAGGCAACCATGATATCTAACAGGCAACCATGATATCTAACAGGCCAACATGATATCTAACAGGCCACCATGATATCTAACAGGCCACCATGATGTCTAACAGGCCACCATGATATCTAACAGGCAACCATGATGTCTTACAGGCCACCATGATATCTAACAGGCCAACATGATATCTAACAGGCCAACATGATATCTAACAGGCCACCATGATATCTAACAGGCCAACATGATATCTAACAGGCCACCATGATGTCTAACAGGCCAACATGATATCTAACAGGCCACCATGATGTCTAACAGGCCACCATGATATCTAACAGGACACCATGATATCTAACAGGCCAACATGATGTCTAACAGGCCAACATGATATCTAACAGGCCAACATGATATCTAACAGGCCAACATGATATCTAACAGGCCACCATGATATCTAACAGGCCACCATGATGTCTAACAGGCCACCATGATATCTAACAGGCCACCATGATGTCTAACAGGCCACCATGATGTCTAACAGGCCAACATGATATCTAACAGGCCAACATGATATCTAACAGGCCAACATGATATCTAACAGGACACCATGATGTCTAACAGGCCACCATGATGTCTAACATGGCCAAAATTCCTCAGCTTTCAGAAGAGGATGCTGTTTATGAGCCAGTTCTTCCAGATTTTCAAATCATGTAGGATAATTATGTTTTTGTTTTTCTTGGTCCACCGTATTCTAACAATCTTTGTGTAGCATTTCATCACACTCATATGATATTTTGCAATTAATCATAATCATTGCAATATTGAATAACCAACAAAATTGACAAGCATATATATCCATTATCAAAATATTAGAATTCATCACACTGTAATGTCACTGCTTAAAACTCTTGACATCCTTAACAACACTATAGACAATTTATAAGACAGTGGCATGGTTATTTTAATTTCTTACACCCTTTCAAAGTTTTCATTTAAAGCTCTTCTTATTATAGCAACAGACTTTTCCAAAGTTATCTATAATAATACTGTTATAGGAAACAAATGAATCTATGAAAATTATATTATCACATTATAGAAAAGAATGTTTCTATGAGAATTCTGTCATCATCATATTATAGAAAAAAATTTTTTCAACAATGAGGCTGCTAGTATGATCTTCCTCCTCTTCCCCTTCTTCTTCTTCTTCTCCTCCTCCTCCTTCTTCTTCTTCTTCTGTATGCATCTGAGGATATAACTTCAATGTGTCCATTTACAGAATGGCTGAGATATCCAACTTCCTAAGGCATTTGCTGCCCAGGTTAGCCCTCCTAGATTTCATATTATAACTAGAAAAGACACAACTCTGTTACCTGTCAGTCTTGTTGGTAATGTCTTGCACTGGGCCACTGACATCAGAGAGTTCACTTTCCATGCATTATCAAGAGACACAACTGCAGCCTGGCTAGCCTATTTGGAATGAAACAACTGGGAACTTTATGGTTCTTGTACTTATTCTTGTCTAAATTATGACTGTATTTTCAATTTCAAAATTTAGTTATAAGAAAAAGAAATAATTGCAGAAGATGGCACTAGAAACAAGTAGAGAATCACCAAAGGGATTAAACAAACAAGGATGTCTACAAAAAGAATAACAACATAAAATGAGCATATTTGAGAGAGAGACCAAAGAGATGTCAGACTAGATTCATACAGCCAGATTTTTTTTCTTCCAAAAACGACATTGGCTCCCAGACTGACACAGCCTTAAGTTGTTAGTTAAAGTCCTGGCAAGTAGAGGCAGAGGCAGCTGGCATGATGTTGACCACACAGAGTGCCAACTGGTCATAAAATATAGGTCTAGCCCTATATGCCCAATACACCTAAAGGCGTGGAAAAGAGTCCTTTACTTTTATCTGTTTGAGGTTTTGAACAACAGACCAACATCATGGCATGCGGGTGTAACCCATTAGTGCTCAGTTCTTCTTCTAACTCAAGTCTGAGTCTGAAGAAGCTCAGCACAGTGCACAGGCTCTGTAGCACCGGCGAGGATCCTAAAATACTTTAGACAGATTTTTAACTCCAAATTTTGCCCGGGCAACTATGTACACGGGCGTCCAATCTCACTACCCTAGAAGTCCAAGTCCACAGGGAAAAATCCCAGCCCTTTCCAGGAATAAAACCCGGGAACCTCTAGCACTTAAGGCAGACACCATGACTCGAGACCATGCAGGCCCCTTTTATCTATTTGACACACAAAGGCCTAACAGGACGAAGATGATGATGAATTTTAACATCTTAACTGAAGTCTGCTTTCAGTGAACTTAAAAAGAAACATACAGCATCCTTTTCATCCTAGTCACACATCAGGAGTTGAGTTGAGTTGAGTCAAGAATTCACATCACAGCACTCGGGGCATTCCCATGTGTACTCCGTCCTCATCTTCAGCAGCCAGTGTAAAGTTCTAATACTGATGGTACCAGTCACAATCTGGTTTTACGTCCGTCTTGCCTTTCCTCTGAGTGTAGTCGGCCGGCCAGACCCTCTGGTTACAACCAGGTGCCTCATTTTCTCCAGGTCATAATATTCTTCTTTCTCTACTGATTCCGTTGCTTGTTCCCAAAAGGCCTTGACCAAATCTACCTTGTCATGTATCAGTTCACCACCCAGTGGTGCAGATCCAGCCAATCTGTCTACCTGTTTCACACATCCGGAATATGATGCTAGACATATATTTTTACAGATCATTCAACACTTAACTAGTGACGCAGCCAACATTACATTGGCCACATTTACTTCCAGGTCATTGCTTATACCCATTTTAGGCTGGGTCAACCTGGAACCAAAGTAATATTCCCCCCCCCCCCCAAATCCACTCAGTGTAGATAAGCCTGGACTTTCTTGGTTGTTCGTCCATGTCTGGACTATGGTCTTCTTCCAGGACTTGAGTATTGGTGCACATGAATTTTACAGATCTGGTTTATTTTTCTGCAGACTGTTGGTTCCTCACCTCTCAGGCAGACATGTTCCAAGCATCAACTGTATATACACTGGCCAGGTCCCTGGTAGGTAACTTATTTCTCAGATAACCAAGGAGAGATTTAAATAGGTCTTAAACTGTTGCAGCCCTGGTCCAGGTGTATGCCCACAGGTAGTGGCTGACCTCTGTATCTCCCAGTAAAATCTCATGAACTTTCCCTTACAAGCATTGTGCAATAATCTTCTTCTTTTGTCCTTCTGCATTTAGTGATTAGCAATTAGAAAGGATTATGATCACAGCACCCCGGACAGATCCATAGGTGCTTCAATCTCCTCCTCAAAAGCTCCACAAGTGTAAAACGACTGATGACGCCTGCTTTGTGTTGGTTATTGAAACGTCTTGTCCTCTTAGTGAAATGTTCTTTTCTTGCAGCTCCAGGTTGCACCCCTATGCCCATCAGACTAGACAGGGATAGAGAGTCATGTTCTTTGGCATGCTGCTCGGTACAGTAAGTGCAGTGCATGGCATTGATAACATCACTTCTGTCCAGTACTGGACCAGCCATAGCAACAGCAGTGTCAGCAAGATAGTCTGCACGCTCGTTGCTTTGAACAACTCTGCATTTGTTCCAAAGCATCACAGAGAGGAGTTTGATGTAGTTTCCTGTCTTTTGCTAATTGCATAGCTTGTGTTAATATCAAATTGTGTTTTTATAGTGTCTCTATTACTCCCTCCACCCATTACTTTCTTGGTTTGCCTCTTGCCTTGTAGCCTGCTGATCTCATATAGTACACTCTAGCTGCTGGCTGATTTGTGTTCCATTCTGATCAGGTGACTAAACCATCTGATTCTTTGATGTTCTATAAAATCCTTCACTGGTACTGTGCCTACTAATGTTCTTAGTTCTTCATTTGTGACTCTTGTCTCTTCTTGTTTTACCTGCCGCAATTCTTATACATCGCATTTCACTTTCAGATCAGCTAAAATAATAAGTGCCGTTAAGTTGAACCCAAAAAAACAAATGCTTGAAAAAGTCAGATGTACCAAAAGGCATCAATATTACATCTGTGCACAACTAAATTACAGGAGGAATAAAGAAAAAATGTTGAATGAGGAGTTAACATCACAGCACCCCATAAGCGCTTCGTCCCCATCTTCAGCAGCAAATGAAGAGTTCCAATTCTGATGGCACTAGTAACTGTCTGATTGTACATCCAATCTTGCCCTTCCCTTGAGTGATGAGCATCGGCTAGATCCCCTGGTAACTCCTCGCAGTACCGTTCTCCTCAGACCGTAATTATCTATTTGGGCTTCTGCACTGTTCACTCGCTCCAAGAGTAGCTGGAGCTACGGAGAGCATAATCTGTGCTTGATAATGTCTTCAGGAATAAGGAAGAAGAAATAGTAAATGTGCCATTGAAACCAAAATATTCGGAGACCTTCATCAAATACCATGTCAAATTTGTGTTCACACATTTTTTGAAACACTCCCAGTAATGGTAATACTGTGACTTGTGATATTCAGTCTCTTAACTCTTTGCAGACGGAGCCTTTTTGGACTTTCAGGGCCAAGAAGATAGAGCCTTTACGAGGGGATTCTTATAGTTTATACACACAAACAATATTTTAAAAAAAGCGTTTAATTAACAAATACAAAACTATATATATTTTGATGAAACTGAATAAACTAACAGAATATTTATGAATCAAACTGAAATCTCAATATTTATTCAAATTAACTATTCTGATTTGCATGTTTTAAAACTTGGGAACAAACCTGAAAAATGTCGGTGACTTTTTTAATGGATAAAGCTTGAATAAGTCCTAACACCTGTATGTGGGCCTTGAAGGCCCTTCAGACGCCTCTGGCACATGGTTCTACTCATTTTCCCGCCTCCAGCTATGTTTCGATTGCTATGACACAATAGTCTTTTTCACCATTTTTGGGCACAGGTAACCCCAGAAAAAAATTGATGTAAAATTACAGAACACATCAAACTTTCTTGAAAGCTGTCAATGAACAGCCCACATGTGCAAGAAATGCGAGAAGCAGTCTGATTGGCTTGTACGAAAACCTGCCAGTCAATATCAAGGCTTTTATTATATAGGGTCGACCATTTGGCCCAGTCGTCCTTTTGGCTACTTTGTGTGTAGCCAATATTTCGGACTCATCGTCTCCAAAGGTTTAAAAACAATAACTGATAATACAGACAACATAAATATATCTTACTTCAGTAAGTAGGTGAAAAGGTGGGAATGTGTAAGCTCTCTTTGCAGCTGCAATGTTACCTTGTGAAAAATAATAATTTACTTTGTGAATAATAATAATAATAATAATCACCAAATGTTACTGTGTGGATGCTTATCCCATTACAAATTTATTGCCTACAATTTTGATACAAAAACAAAAACAACTGCAGATTACTGCCTTTATTATACAACTTTTGGAGTGGGGGGGCGGGGGGGGGGGGGGGGGGGGGGGTCTCTGAGCCTGAGGATTTCCAGCCGCATGGCTAGTGCTGTCGCCACGACTGTGCAGGTGAGGATTTATTTTGCCCCCAACAGAAAAAAATTCCTAGCCTTACTTAGGATTCGAAACTGGGTATCCCACTTGAGAGCCCAGCGTTCTAACCATTAGGCCAGCTGCTACAGTTTTGATAAACAATATATAATCTTTACACACACATAACATTTAGTTAAGTGACAGATTATCCACATACAAATGAAACCATTGGGTGCATACATTTTTAGCATTTTAGTATTGATCTCAGGATGTAACAAACTAAAGAAGTCTTTCTTGGTCAACGGAAATAAGAAAGAGAATTCTCAAGAGTTACATCAATCCTATCTTGACATACAGAACATAATCATGGACAGTTGGATAATTAGTGGTGGAAAAAACATCACAGACAGATTACAAAAAATAATGAAGATGTCTTGAAAAGAAACTGACTCATGCAGAGAAGGGACTACGCACATCAAAAGGAGACAGTTATGCCTTTGGTCATGTCATGAGAAGGGAAAAACTGGAGTACATCGGTGGAAAAAATGTAGAGGGAGACTGAGAGAGAACATGCAGGACAGTGTGACATCATGGAATGGAAGATGATCTTGTGTCAGTACTGACAGAAAGTATATGAGACAGAAAGCTGTAGATAGACATGACTATCAGTGCTACAAGGTATGGACAATGAAAGATCATCTGTGTCAGAATTATTAGAAAGTATACAAAACAGATGGTTGTGGATAGATATGACTACCAATACCACAGGGCACACACTATAAGAAGAAAAAGTAACAAATGTTAGAAAACATAATGGTATATCCTGACAAATTTTCAGAAAATATAAATTTTTCCAGCACGACCTTCATTTTTGGGGGGAAGGAAAGGTGAAAAGAAAAAGAAGTTGTCCCCCCCCCCCCCACCTCCTTTTCCCTTTCCACCCTTGCCCTCACCTCTCTGTCATGACCTTGAATATGTGAAGGCATAACCGTTCCCATCCCAACAGCATCTTTCTGCTACAGAACTATCCTTAAAGTAGACTGAAGCACACCCCCTCGCCCCAATAACTTTGAAGTAATATGAAATATATACACAGATATTTAAACAAGAGAACGCCTGTACATGGTTAGGAGGTCCACTAGGGATCCACTAACCCCCAGGAATAATTCCCAGAGAATTTGCAAGGGGGCTAGTGGACCCCCTAACCATGTGCAGGCATTCTCTTTTTTAAATATTTGTGTATACATTTCATATATTATTATATTTATCTGCTATTCCACAAATAATAATAATTATTATTGTGCACTTACATAAAGCTTAAGCCCCTTGAGCTCTGTCCCTCAAAAACTACATGGCTGGGTGCTAAGCCCCCAGTGCCAAAGATTTCTTGGTGGTGGCGCACCTGAATCAAAGTAATTATACATTGTAAAGCAATGGTTACTACTTACTGTAGTTGGTAATAAGCATCTGAACACCAATTACACAGAATGAACCCCTTACCTCTAGTTTGAAAATTTGTTATATTCAAGGCTGCTAGTTTGGCTTTTCCTAATTTGGTGACATTTCTTCTTTTCTTGCTGTTTGTATCATTTTCTCCCTTATCATCCACGATCTCCTGAACTTGCTCATATTCAGTGTTCTTTTATCATATAAAAAGATGAAATAATTATTAATTTGTTCAAACGCATACAGTGCTTTATTCTGGGTGAAAAATGAAAGTCTAATCAGTGATATTAAAAATTCAAGTGCCAAGCTAAGGAAAAGAAACAAAAGCAGAACAGTGAGACTCAACCAACTCGTGCCAAGTCTTCCTATTATTTGATGTCATAAACAGTTCTCTCCATGTCCTTCCTATTTTTTTGTTTTTTATGAAACCCTCTAGATCTTTTTTCCAAGTGTTTATTTTTTTGTCTGCTTTTATTCTTTTAACCCTATGGATTCCAGTGCAAAGACATTATGGTTTTTCTGTTAGACCGCTCATACAGTGGATGAGAAAAGAACTATGGAATGTTAGTGGAATGTTAGTCAGTTAGGTGTGGTTTCAACATCGGTGCAGATGGATCATCCCAGAACTGTTGCATTCCTGTTTCAATAGAAATCACACACAAAATTCTTCACTGTCCCATTAGAAAACTAATGAAAACCCTGTCTGTCCCAGCAAAATATTGAAGTTGCACATGCAAAATACAAATGCATACCACATCAGATGTGCCAACACTAATGGTCCTACTCCAGAATTGCAACTCACCACTGATGCAGACAAATGTATTTGTCTACCTACCATTTTAGTGCGGTCAACAACATACTGTGGTCTCTCTCTCTCTCTATCTCTCTCTCTCACACACACACACAATCTTGGTGCAGTCAACAACTTGCCGTGGTCTCTCTCTCTCATGCACGCATGCTTATATGCACGCACCAATGCATGCACACACTTTCACACAGACACACATATATATTTTACATGAAATCCACAGCTCACAGTGTTGCCCTAAGTACTCAACTCGGCAGATGGGGAACCTTTAGACTCCTGGCCCAGAAATTTGCAACCACACAACACAATTTGAAACAAATAAACTTTTTAGCCATTTTGGCCAGAAGTCCACTAGGAAAAGACAAAGAGGTCAAAACTTCCATGGCTTGGATACATGGCCTAATCAGCAAAGGAACACAGACTTGATCTGAAGAAGGTAATCATATGAGATGGCAAGCCATGCTTATTGGTATGGTTCAATGTTAATGACACATTCATTAGTATAATTATGGCTAATTGTTATACTTCACATTAGGTTATCAATGTCAGACTTGGACATTAACAAAAGAACACGAGAGAAGACTAACCACCTGTGAAATGAGATGTTTGAGAATGGCTGCGAATAAAACCAGAAGAGATCGAGTGAGAAACGATGTGATTACAAGAACTATTGGAACGATACCCATCGTTAAATTTATTGAGAAGCAAAGAATAAAATGGTTTGGTCACCTAATGAGAATGGAACCAACGATGACAGCATCAAGAGCATACAACATGAAAATCGAAACACCAAGAGGCAGGGGAAGACCAAGAAGAAAATGGATTGAAGGAGTCACGGACAACTTGAGACTTCATAACATCTTGGCATATGAAGCGACTGAGCGCGCCCTGGCTCGGTTGCCGATCATCTGATAGACTGCGACGCCTAGCGGCACAAGCAGATTTTGACAAAAGAAGAAGAAGTTATACTTCACAGCAAACTACCCACATTCTGACTTCAAAAGATGTAACTACAAAACTAGAACTGACAAGCCACAAAAATATACTTCACCCCAACAGCAGATATTTGCTATATGACTACCCTTAATTATAATGGTTAATTTAATATAATTCTAAAATTTGCAACACTTTTTCATATTAATGCTGATTAAATAAATAACAGAGAGATTTAAAAAAAAAATTTCCCACAATAATTGATTGTTAAATTTGTCAATAAACACTTAAACAGAAATAACATTATGAAGATTTTGAATGTATAAACAGCAGCAGAGCTACATGCAATAATAATTTACACATAAAAATACAAGAGTATGTTGATTTTCCAAGATGAGTTTCTTTGGATAGTAATGTAGAGTAGTTCCCCCCTTGCTCTTTCTTTCAATGTTTCAGTACGTCAAAGAAAACGGCTTGTAAACAGCATCTTGTCCTAGACACTCAAAGTATTTTGGCTATATCAATCAATGCAATGGCTTGGAAGGAACAGTGAGGGAGGACACTGTACTGCACAAGACAGGCAGGGATCGATTTCTGTGAGATTATTCGGTTATAAATTAATCTTGTATAAAGCACTTGTCGATAACACACCATTAAACAGTATATACTTCACTTCACCTTAAATGTAATTTCAGGAGACATAACTGTCACATCAATGTGTGTATTGATTTCTTCCTCAGGAATAGAATATTGCAGCCTGAGATCTCCACCCAGACCGGCTTTCTCAATCATAGCCTCTGCATAAACATCTCTGAAAAATACGGATATTGTTCAAGTTTGGTTCATCTTGGGTCTAGATTTGCACTGGGTAGATTAAAAAATGACCTGGCCTTAAAACTGGTACCAGGAGATTTCCAAGCAAGAAAATATTCCTGGCATGATGCCGACCATATGATGTTGATATGAAAAAAACATCATCATCATCATCAATTCTCTTTATGCCTAGTGGCACATGAGGCTCCAGACAGGACTTTCCATGCTTTCCTGTCCTGTGCAATCTCCAGTGCAGTTTTCTTTGACAGAGATGCCACTATGCTGACAGAGGGACTCTGTCTCAAGACCGCCAGATGTTTTGAGCACTTATTTCCTCTTGAAGTTTCTGTAACATTGTAGTTTTTTTTTTTACAGGGCAGAGCTGTCAACATTGAGCCCAACCCATGAGCCTGGAGGACCAGGAGGCCATCTTTAGTCTGGCCCCTCACCAATGACCTGTCCAGCTTGCGTGACCCTGCCAGGAACATAGGTTCTAGCCGGCATAGCTCACTAGATCACTGAGGCTTTTAAGCTCCCCCACCACTACAAGGTACTGGCCTCTGGGGAGGGGGGGATATAAAAACATGCAATAAACATAATTCTTTGGACTACTGCCTATGAGATTATATGTTCTAATCAATTAATCTAATATCAGTCTTATAATTACAAACATGAACTGAATGATTTCTACTGTCTTCTGAGTGCTAGTGAGATCAAAAACATTTAACAAATAGCTTGCCTTCTTGCTAGAAACAACTGTTAGAATAACACTTACGACTGATTGACTGACTTTTAATCCCACCAGGACCGCACAAAGAATGTCTTACACCCAGTGAACACCATTAGGATGAGGATTACCAGGACATAAGTCCCAAAATCCTTGTTCAACTGTTAGGTTATATTTAGGGCCCCTGACTACAGCTGAGGTAGGTCTTCAAAATAACAAAAAATATTACACCTCATTTTGGTCGGAGATTTTTTGAACATTTTCTAGATTAACTAGAAAAGATTTACACATTGTTTACAAATTTCACCCCACAATTAAATATTGTACAATGCTGAGTGTTGAATTAGGAATCGACATCAAAGCACTCGGGACACCCCCATAAGAGCTCTGTCTCCATCTTCAGCGCCAAGTGAAGAGTTCCAATTCCAATTGGCATAAGTAAAGAAACTTTCAGGCATGCCAAGAAGACAGCAACGTTCTGTATAGGACCTGCTGCTTGATGATGATTGTGAAAGATACAGGCAGCAATAAATATATTTCTTGGCACTACTGCTTTTGAGGACATATTTTCCAATTGATCACTTCATTGTCAATGTTCTTATTGCAAACATGAACTGAACTGTTTCACTGACTTGTGAGAGGCGGTGAGATCCACAACAATCCTCATTCCTTTCTGAAATCCATTTGGCTGACACAGAGTCTGAAATAGAAACAGCATTTTAATGGAAATACTACATATCTGCAGGCAGACATACAAAGGTAATGCAAAATACACACTTAAAATATGCATATTAATTATCTGTTGTCTTTTATTTGACAGAAATAAACAGTTATTATATCCAGCAAAGGTGTTGAAAAACACACACCAGCAGAGCAAGAACAAATAACACATTAGACAAATGTCTTACTTACGTCGACTATTCTTCCAAACCCAACCAACTATTTTGAGCATTATTAGGCAAGGATAACATGTATTTTTACTATATGGTTATCACACAGTTTTTTTTACTAACTCTTTTGTCCTAGGAACACTAAAAAAAACAATATAGACAAAAATGAAATATTCTTACTGGAAATTTTGGATAACGGGCCAAAACATTGCACTTTTGTGGCAAGCAGAAAGTATAATTTCCTCCCATCAGCCAGTACTTCTGCACAGAAATCCCATTTTTAAATACTTCTGCAAGATAGCGGTCCTGTGGAGAAAAACTGTTTATAAAGATTTTCTATCTAACAAGTGTAGATGGGGCACAGATGAAAAGTTAAGAAGTTAAATTCTATTCTTGAAACCGAGGAAGACTTAAATACATTATGCTGCTGCTTCTTTTTCATTCTTCTCTTTCTAACATCCCATTCCCCATCTAGGCACTAAGTTGGGGAGGCCTTCAACAAATAAATGGTTATAGGGAAGACAAAAGTACAGATCCATTGAAGCCAGCAAGCATGTCCTAGTAGGTGACTAACTAGAGGTGTTTTCTTTAAAGTCGGTGTGCATCTGCCTGATAGGTGAGGAACCAACAGTCTGCATACAGATTAGCCAGACTTGCAAAATGGATTTGCACACAAAACTCAGGTTCTAGAAAAAGACTAAAGTTTGCAGGTGGCTAGTTATTTTGTAAAGAAAGACCAAACTATGTAGGATCCTCTCGACTTTACATCTTTTACTTTGAGTGGTTAAAATATATCACTTGTTTCTTTTCCAATTCTTTCAGCCACTCTCCTTTCATCACAGTCTCTTCAAAAGTTCTATTTCAGATTAGTTTTTTTACACAGTTGACTTCACAGCCACGTGTACACAACATTTATAATCGGCAAATCAGCCATGTGCATATGTGGATTGGCACCTTAGACAACAGATCATGTCCTCCAAGACTGTCCCAAATACAACATACCAAGGCAAAACTTGTGGCCAAGAGAAACATCGGTGCAAGTCAAACTTGACGGGTCAATGAGTGAATTACAAGACAGTGAAGTTCATACTAGAGACAACATTGCAGATAATGATAATCAATTTCAAGCGAACGAAAGAAGAAGAAGGAGAAGATTGGTTTTGTTTCCATGAAATACAAAGTTTTTTACTGTCCAGACCAAATACAATTTTCATTGCTCAGGTCTCTGCATTATATTTTAAAGTTCAGAGTTATAATTTTTAATAACTCTCATTTGTCTGTTATCAACATATTTTTTATCTGATCGTCCTATTATAAATTCGGACTCTCTTTCTATGTATGGGTTTGGGGCATCATTTTGGGGAGAAAAAGAAATTATCCGCTGCCCATCCCCCTCGCCCCCCCCCCCCCCCCCCACCTTTCCCAACAAGCATATCATAAAATGCGACCAACTGTAGAAATTTCCTTTAAAGTCGAAGTGCATCCACCTGAGAGGTGGGGAACCAACAGTCTGCAAATAAATTAGCCAGATCTGTAAAATGGATGTGCACACAAAACTCAAGTTCTGTAACTAGACAAAGTCCATAAGTGGCAAACAACTACAACTTTCTGTCGGAGTTTACAACCAATGAACATTAAGAGGAAACTATTTTTTTTTTTAAATCGGTTGTGACAACACACTCAGTGACTTCAGAAGGTGTCTTTCCTTAACCTACTTTTATATCTATGTATTGTAAAGTATACAGAAAAATAGACATTTGGATATGTCCTAAATCTAAGTCAACTACCAGAACAAACCTATTTAATTCTCCTGGACTGCTGGTGATATCAAACACTGAGACTCTTTCCCAGATGTAAAGTGTTAAGGTACAGTTAAGACTGAGCAGGTAGACTAAGTTGCACCAGTGAAATTTAAAGCTCAGACTTAGTGGCTGGAAATTGTGCTTGCAGAACTGAGGTGTCAGATAATTATCTCCTAGCTAGACCTTTAGAAGCAGGTAGCTCAGGCTAATTGTGATTATCTCCCCCTGAAGTTACCCCACTGGAGTGCAGGTCAGGTGGTCAGTATTTACATGGTTTCTAGAGGTGTCCACAGGCAGAACCTGGCAGGTTGAAGAAGAGGAGGAATGTGTAACTTTGCTTATGAGCTCTGGCCAGCTTGATGGACCAGGAGTATGTAACCGTGGGAATGCAAACAAGTGTTTTACAGTCCTGACTGACAGTAAATAGACTTACCCACGGGGAGGAGCTGTGACATCCTTGAATGACAATGGTTTTAGGAGTAATGTAGGAGGGTGTTATTCCTTACGTCCCTCTTAGGACGTTATTTTTTGTTATTTGAAGCCCCACTCTGGCTTTTGCCAGGGGCCGCAATATAGGCAGGTCATCATTATGGCCAAATGTCTGAACGCGGTTTCTGGGACCTCTCCACGGTGATCCTCATCCGCATGGTGGCACTTTGTGTCATCGGGTGTTTATCGCTTGTGTGATGTCCTGGTGGGGTAAAAAGCCAATCCAAGCCATAATGTAGGAGGAACTTAGAAAAAGTTATAAAAGGGTTTACTCTAGGGCTGGGAAATGAGACTCTGCCATCAGCATGCCATCTGTTGGGCTTAAACCTTAAGCTTGAGACAGACCTTTTGGCATTGTGTTTTCATTTTCCAGGTAAGCAAAACTATTTTTCAACCCTTATTTCCTGATAAAAATCTAACTGTCTTTTTGCTCAAGTGTGTGTCTTTATCACTTTGTAGTACTCCTTAGCGGACATTTCTCCATTCTCGTAGGGCACTGTCACATTGCTTTAAATCATAATTGATATTGTAATGAATGTTTTCGTGCAGATGTGTTTCAATATTGTATAACTTAAACGTTGATGTTACCACTGAAATTTAATGAACTAGAATTTTTCTGAAATCACAAGCATGAAGATAATTTTGGCAGTCTTTTCATGTGTGGTTAATTTGAATCTATACTGCATACAGCTAAACACTGAAATGTGTTTAACTCCAGGGGAGCTAATGCAGAGATTGATCCCAGAGAGTAAATCCCTGAGATTTGTTATTTGATATAGCCCCAGAAATATTGTTAACATTCTGGGCGCGCCCATTATTCCAGGCATTAATTCCAGAACTTGTTCTGTCAAACTGATTGTCATTTTGATTCTGCATGAGAGATGACATCAGACATAGAAGACTGAACTATCATTACAGGACGTGAGTAGAGGAAGGCAGGAAATGTAAAGACTACAATGTGAGACGAAGTCCTTCCAGACTGGACAGGAAAGAATGTGAATATGAGGGATTTTTTGTAATGTTTTATTAGAATAGACATGTTTGGTGTAAGTCTAGATACTTCACATATGTGCTTGTTTCTTTACTACAGTTCCCACATTGGGCATGGACAAGTCCGCATCCATTCTTTGCCGACCGTCTGCGTGGCAGCAGCGAGGATGACAAACTAGAAAAGGATAGGTAGGGTATCAAACTGAGAACTGTCCAAGGTTCATTTTCTCCAATTTTATGAGTTATGTATAACTTTCATATGAATTAATTTTATCAGTAACACCATCTTCACTCTACTAGCCTAAACATGTTCATTTTATTTTTGGTTAGATTTATTCAATAAATCTTGTTCATGTTGTTATAAAATAGTTGAGTAAATTGTGTACTTAGGTTCAAGTGCCTTTGTGCATACTAGTTTACTTCAGCTCACAACTATGTAAATCACTTGATGGGGGCTTTTGTTACAAGTTAATACCAGGAGAGGAGAAAGTCGGAGGGGTTAACTGTGTATCTTGATATTATCTCATTGGGTTCATCTTGATGTCCATCTATCCCTTCTCCTACTCCTGTGGATACAAATACAGCTATTTTCATTTGATGGAACGAGCCACTTGCTGTTTTCTTGGTTATCCAGGACTGTCTAGGATCAACATAGCTTAGATATTAGTCCAGTTTCTCACGTGGGTGGGCACTGTTAGGGTTCAAACCCTCACACTGCAATATAAGTGCATAATCCCATGTGGGTAAGTGACAACTGCGAGCTAAGTGAGGTTGGAAACCTTTCCCACTTAAGTTACTAAGCAACATACGATAGCACTCATACTTTCATCAGCTAAGTGAGGTTGGAAACCTTTCCCACTTAAGTTACTAAGCAACATACGATAGCACTCACACTTTCATCAGCTAAGTGAGGTTGGAAACCTTTCCCACTTAAGTTACTAAGCAACATACAAAAGCACTCACACTTTCATCTGGTTCTTGTGATGCCAACTTTAGTGGCTGAGAATCTGTTTGCACTTCTTTTATTTTTGCTTCCAAGCTGCAAAACAAACCAAATGATAGAAGACAAATCAGTGGTAAAATAAATATCATCTACTTTTTTTCCCAGCAGCACATTTTATAAGTGTTTATACCACAGTATGTGGCCAAGAGATGCTTTCTTGAAATACTATGGGCCATAATTTTCTTCCCTCATTAAGGTAGGACAAATTTGCCAATTATAGGTCAAATAAAAATCCTGTCTGTACTTTTTTTAAATGCGTGGTAGCATAACTGCCATATTAGTAAAGATCAGCACAGCCAAGCATGAGAAGCACACTGGATGCACACAAAGTCTTGTCAACCAGCATAGGGCTGGCATTATTAACAGTGTAATGCTGATGAATATGCTGAAGGGGGGATATGAGCCCCTATGGACGTGTCTGGAATGCTGTGAAGATAATCCCACTGAATGTTGAATGTTGAACTAAAAATCGATATCACAGCACTCGGGACACTCACATAAGTGCTCAGTCCCCATCTTCAGCAGCAAGTGAAGAGTTTCAATTTCGATGGTACCAGTAACCATCTCATTCTTTCCCTGAGTGTTGGGTGTCAGCCAGATCCCCTGGTAACTCCTCGCAGCGCCATTCTTCTTAGACCATTATGATCTGTCTGCACCTCCACACTGTTCACTCGCCCCCAAAGGACCCTCACAATATATAACTTGTAACACATCAATTCACCACCAAATGGTGCAGAGCCAGCCAGTCTATCTGCCTGCTCATTTCCCAACACACTGGCATGACCTGGAGAAAATATCCAAAGGATGCTAACTACCCGGGACTTCTGAAGTGATGCTTGCCACTCTGCACAAAGCATGCCTGTTTTCACCTCTCTCAACATGCTCTGTGAGCCAGTCAAAATGACAGCATGTGTGTACAACTGATTCTCAAGCCAGCGGAAGGCAGCAGAGACTGCTTCCATCTCCATTCTCAAACTAGATGTTGTGATATCATATGCAAGGCTTTTCTGAACTAGGTGACGTCCATTCGCCTTTGCTATGAAACTCCTATACATTTTATCTGCCTCTCAACACAGAGCCATCTGTATAGATAATCACATCACTTGGGCGGGAAATGTCATGAATCATTTGTTAAACTTATAATCCAATTCCTAACTCCTAACTGCTATATGCTGCCATGCTCGTCAATAAGAGGTCTCGGGTTTGAATCCATACAAAGGGAGATTCTGTTTCTTCACAAGTGACCTTAGCAGACTGAACCAACATTAAACCAGATACCATGTAATGTCATGGGAAGCAAATGCTGCCTTGATGCTGAAAACTTCACCCACAGAGTGCAAATTAGGCTATGGCAATTTGAGTCTACACTCACATTCCTGAGTTGAGTTGAGTCAATAATTGACATCACAACACTTAGAACATTCCCATACATGCTCCATCCTCATCTTCAGCAGCCAGTGCAGAGTCACTCAAACAATGCTGATCCATTTTCAACATCTCTTCTCCAGGAGTATCTGTTGCTGCAGCTTTCTCCCATGTGTATCTATACCAAAAGTCAAGTCAATGTCATGTGTGCGGATGACATTACCATAGCTGTAACAGCAGAAGGTCAAATGTGCCCATTTAATAATGTTGAATTGAGCACACCTTCAGCAGCAAGGGCAGAGTTCCTATTCTGCTGGCATCAGTAACAGTCAGGCTGTATATCCATCTCGCCTTTTCCTTGAGTGCTGAGCGTCAACCAGATACCCTCATCACTCCTAGCAGCACTATTTTCATCAGACTGTGATGATCTATGTGTGCCTCTGCACGGTTAAATTTTCTGTTTCCAGTAGATGCTTGCTTGATTTAATTGTTTCCTAATTTTATGCTTGTGACATAACAAGGCTTTATGTGATTCAGAATATAAAACAGCACACATTTACAAAACTATAACAATTAACAGATGAGAAAGATTGTTGTTAAATACACTCAGATTTTATACAAGTTTTCTAAAGCAATAAAATTTTCTCAGAGTAATGCTGGTGTGTTGGGAAATTAGCAGGCAGATAGACTGGCGGGTTCTGTACAACTTGGTGGTATACTGATGTATAACAAGCTGGATGTTGTGAGGGCCCTTTGAGAGCAAGTGAACAGTGCCTAGAAACAGATAGATCATTAGGGTCTGAAGAGAATGGCACTTCGAGGAGTTACAAGGGGATGTGGCCGACGCTTGACACTCAGGGAAAAGGAGAGACAGATATAAAATCAGACAGTTTATGGTACCATCGGAATTTTTACTCTTCGCTTGCTGCTGAAGATGGGGATGGAGCTCTTATGGGGGTGTCCCGAGTGCTGTGGTCATCATCATCATCAGGTGCCTTGCCAACTGGTGTGGGCGATCATGCCGGGATCTCCTGCAGCATGTATTAGTTTGTTTGCTGACACACCTCCATGCCATGCAACAAGACTGTCAAGAATCTTCTCTCAGTGTCTTCCTCTATCCCTCCTTCCACAGATCTTTCCAGTGGTCACAACATGTTCCATTTTCCCTATTCTCATTACATGGCTGAAAAATGATGACTGTCTCCTTCTGATGTCTGTGATTAGTTGTCTTCAGGCTCCCACCTCTTTCAAAACCTCTTGGTTGCTCTTGGTGATGTTGATTCTTAATTCAACATTCAACAGTTAGCATTGAAACAATTAAATAAACACACCAATGTTCTAACAAGCTATATGATGTGGTTATTTAATAAACATACCGATGTTTTAACAAGCTTTCTGGTGTAGTGGCTGAATAAATCTGATCTATATCAAGATCAGTGTAAGCATGACTGGATTCCATGAAAAACCAGTGGACATCAATGTACAGTTGATTTTCAGAAAGCTCTTCAGCTGAAAGGAAACATTAAAAATAAATTTTTAAAAAGTGAATCACTGAATAAAGCCAAGAATGTTAATAAATAATCTCTTCTGATCTTGAAGTAGTAATTTTGATGTCTAGTCTTCTCAGACAGAGATTAAGAAAATAGAAGGCAGATAAAGATTTAAAAAACAGGAGGTTCTGTATACACATTAACGATGCCACAAGTGGGGATCATCATCATCAATTTTCACTCCTGCTGTTAAGTGTTCTGGGCAGGAACAGTTTGTGATCCATTGATTAATGGGCAGCAGTGGCTATTGTCATTCCGTGTCGATGAAGAAGCTCTTTAATGTCTTTTATCTCTCTCTCACTCACTCACTCACTCACTCACTCACTCACTCACTCACTCACTCACTCACTCACTCACTCACTCACTCACTCACTCACTCACTCACTCACTCACTCACTCACTCACTCACTCACTCACTCACTCACTCACTCACTCACTCACTCACTCACTCACTCACTCACTCACTCACTCACTCACTCACTCACTCACTCACTCACTCACTCACTCACTCACTCCCTCTCTCTCTCACTCACACTCTCTCACATACACACACATGCATGCATGCGCACACGCACGCACACACACACACACACACACACACACACACATATATATAAAGGTATGATTATAACAAGTACCTTTCTTCAAGCTGGTCAGCAATAGGAAAGCTCCTGATGTTGATGGTTTCAGCCAACCCCCAAAGTCAGCCACAAGAGGAGACAACACCTGTAAATAAAGGTAAGGTCAAGGTCATCTCACCTAAGATATCTCCTCAGAGGTTTAAAGCAATAAACCTTAACATATGCCAGGTCAAGTGTTGTAAAACAGCTTCTTTTCTCACCATTTTACTTTGCATATTCATTTATTGTGAGAATTTAAACACTTCGCTGCACTGGTTAGAAGAAATCTGGCACTAGTGTGGAACGTAATGCACACACAACAAGAAGAGAGATTCAGAGGATGAGATTAGAGTACGGTTTACCAATAAAGCATAAGGCTGTACCCCCGTGTCCAAGAATGTGTACTTTTGTGTATTTTTAGAGTGCTACATAATTATCTTGCACTACAGTATTTTCAGTAACAGATGTCAGTGTGGATGAATACATACATACATTACAGTCTCACAGAGAACAATCAAATCATTCTCCAATGGATGGCGGCTCACTGTGGCATACCAGGAAATGAGTTAGCAGACAGACTTGCAAAAAATGGAACAAAGGAGAAACAACACGCTCATTCAATGTCATTACCAGAAATCAGAACAATTATCTAGGGAAAATACAAGGAATTGTGGAGAGAACAAACAAAAAGTAAACATCCACAAGGCACCATCAGCAAACTCAACAGAAAATATATAAAAATTTTCTGTCTATGAACAGGACACTGCAGGCTTAACTACCACATGCATAAAATAAAGATTGTACAGTCCCCACAGTGTGCCTATCAGACAATACCACAAACATCTGAGCACATTCTGCAGACCTGCTCACTCTACCTAGAACTTTTATAAGAAACTTGGCCTGAAGAGCAAAGTGTGCAGAGCAAGCTACTGGGCACGATGAAGGACCTGCAGCTGACATGCGAGTTCAAAGAGACAACCAACCTGATGGTCTGATCTGAGCATACAAAAGTGAATGCAAGAAAAAGAAGATACAAACATTATTGGTTTCTAGAAAGAGGAAACATTTGGAAACTGATATAACTCATCCACTGTGTTTAACACTGTGTCTACACCATTCAACTAATATCTTATTTTAAAAAAAAATAATTAAGTAATACATCTCATATCCTCTGTTAATCCTTTAAATAAACCACCTACCTTGTATCCCACAATGCTCTTGCTTGAATTGTGTATCATGAGCCAGGCTGATAGTTCTTCTCCACAGTTGATCAAAGTGACTGTTTTCCCAGGACTTGAAACAATAAATATACGAATTGTAATACTAATGTTTGGCTTAGATAAAATGACTTCATTCAAAAGTGATGACATAAACAGGGGTGATGGCAACTGAGCTGAAATCAATAAGTACTAAATCTTAAACATTTTTTGTTAACTATGACGATGGAAAACTTTCTGCACATAAACAGCCCCAGACGACTGTGTGGCAAGGTCAAGCAATTTATTACAAGGGCTTAAATGGTGGCGCTTTGTCTCACCCGGTGTTAATCGCTCGTTGTGTGGTCCTGGTGGTGGTGAACGTCAGGCACTCACAAATGATACAAACTGACTAGAAGGATCAACAGAGGCAATGGAAAAGACACTCATAAACACAATCAAACGTTTCGACCAAAGGTTTTATTCCTACAATGATTTCACCTGATAAACACCTTGGTTGAAATGTATGGCTGTATTAAGGCAGACTTTTCTATTCTATCCATTGGGTTTCTAGTCACAGTTTATGTTGTATTTAGTACTTCTTGAAATAGAGAAAGGGGAGGGCAATGTGAGACATTTCTTGACAACCTTTCAACAAGGCCCGAGAAATGCTGTTGGAGATTGAAAGATGTGGAGAGCAGTACCCTCCCATACCAGGCAGCAAAACATTTGATGCTGATAATAATGATGCTCAAAACCATTATTTGTAGTATTTTTCTTTTGTTTTGTTAGGAAAGATAGCAGCTGTAGGAAATTATTGTTTCAATGCTAGTGAATTGATAACAGCCATTCATATTTTGATGAATGCAAACAAAAACTATCTATGCAGCATGAAAATGCAGTTAACCATTTCCAAATAAAAGCAAAACAGAATCAGTGAGAAATAAACATAATACACAATATATACACAAACAAATTATTGTTTACGTACCCTCAGAGCTATACATGTAATGAAGGAAGATGTACATGTGCATTAATAACAGGGCTAATCAACTGGTGGCCTATGGCCCTAATCTGGGCCACAGAGGGATAGCAAGTGGCCCATGAATCATTGCCGTTTGTATTGTATTAATGATCTTTATATAATAAGGCTGGGTCCACTGGCCTGGGAAAATCCCCATTTGCAAATATTTTTGCCCATGAGTCAACTTAGTTGAAAGCTCTAATTTATTATATCAATTCTAATTCTCTATACTAATGAAGAGGTCTCCACGGTTAAGTGGTCAAGCCGTTTACCTTATGCTATGATAGTTATGGGTTCATTTGACGGCGGTGCCGCTCAGTATATTAGTGCAATTTTAATGGAGATCACTGGGGATTGTCACTGGAGCTATGGAGGTCATGCTCTGTGTGATGCTCTCAGCAGGCAACTAGCTGTTCTGCAGAGAGAGATTGAGACATAAGGGATAAAACCCGATGCAATGAAGTCAATCCTCTCATCTTTACATTTATACAAACAGAGCCTGCATATCTGTCTCCACCTATATACTTCACATGTAATGAGTTGCCTGTTTGACAATTTAGGCTGTGTCCATGTTCATGAAAGAAATGAGTCAAAAACTGACATAACCGCAATCAGGACACTCCCATACTAGCCATGTCCCATTCTTCAGTAGCCAGCTGAGTCCACATAATGATGGTTTCAGTTGCAAACTGATTAAAAGTATGCCTCTCTTTCTCTCTGTAATTTAAATGTTGTCCATACCCTCTGCTCACTTCCTGTGGAATTGGTCTTTCCAGGTATTGATATACTGTGTGAAATGCGCTGTCTCCACAAGGTCACTAACAACACAAGAAGAGGCATGGTTACGAATGCCAGCACTAGAGAGAAAGTTGGAACAAGACCATGTCTGGATTAAACTGACAGACAAAGAATGAACTAGTTCAACCTCTAGTGAAAATGCAGTCAAACCAAACTGCATATGAGACTTTTTACAGCAGAATAAGTGGGCGGAAGGTGACAGGAAAATCAAAAAAGAGACAGATAAATGATGTAGCAGAAATCTGCAAAGAGATGAACAAATCCATAACCCAAGCCACCCAAGAAGCACAAGACAAATACAGAAAACCATGATGCTGCGCTACAGCCTGGTATCAGTAAGACGACAAAAGAAGAGAAAAAGAAGATGCTGTGTTCTTTTGAAATGTTTGCTTGATTTCAGAGGGCCTTTACCATGTCTGTCTTATCATAAAGTAACTGTAACTATTCATATAGTAACTGGCTGATAGAAAACCCTAAAGTGTACTATAAAATATTTAGCACAAATATGATCCTTGAAGAAGATAAACTCCCCATGTGGGTTGCGGGGAAAACAAGAACTGACCCACTGCCTCCCCAACATGCATGTTGTAGGAGTCGACTAATTGAGAGCTTAGTTAGAAGTCAGAGTGCATCTGCCTGAGCAGCAAGGAACAACCAAACAATCCATGGATGTATACACAAAACTCAGGCCCTGGCACAAAGCCAAAGTCCAAATTGATGAACTCAGGACTTTCCACTAAAACTTACAGCCAGTGAACAAAGTAATTGTATAGGATAGAACAGAATATAGAAAAAGACTGTGAACAATATGTGACATATAATGACATAATTGGCAATGAGTGGATGAAACAAGATAGTCATAAGTAACACTGCACAACAAATACAATGACGTGTCACTGATAGTGTCAAACTATATTATTTTCAACAGAAAGTATTTTCCCCACTGAAAATCAACCGTGACAATATAGTCATTCAGCAATGTTTAAAAAAAATAACAGATAAAGTAAAATTATCAAACATTAGAGAATCAAACTGAACAATAAATTTTGGCAGCCAAATGAAATAACTACACATGGATTACCAAATTAAAAAAATTATAATACTAAAGTAGAAAATATTAATGTTATTAATAAGTTATTTAGATATGGTAACAAACGGGCTGTTAGGCATACAAGTGAATAAAAGGAGCTAGCATATGTAAAAGGGCTAACTAATATAATATTTTTAAGTTAGTTGCCTATCATGTACAGGTTGTTGCAGAACCAACCCCAGCATTTTTTGGCTGTTGTAGCTTTTCTAGGCAAATTTGTACGTT